CCATACTGTAGTCAAATCTCTTATCTATGATGTCTGGAACATCAGCAATCCTTTTACGGTTTCCAAAATTGAATTTACCCTACAACCTTGAATGAAGATTAAAAATTTTCATGTAAATTTCAGATTTAAGATATTCATCAATAGTCAAAGGTTTTTACCCTCATGTTTATGAACAAAGAGAACAAGGTCCATTAACTTAAACTTTGTGACTGCTACCATCCTGAAATCCTACTTACAACAATGATCCTTTAAGATTTCCTTTATCAAGCTTTAGAATATTTTTTTCTAACTTAAAACTTTAACATAATGTCTGTAACAATACAAAATTCAGGTTAATATCACATTTTTATTTTATGACTACTTTCAAAAGTAAAAGCTCACAACTGAGTATCTTAAAATAATGACCAACAATAATATTTTCAAAACTGAGAAGGAAATCCTTCTCAGTCTCCTGAGGAATATAGCCATTTACTTCAACTTGTGGTTTGATAAATATAACCAGCACTTAAAACTATGATTACATGTAAGTATCACAAGATTTACCTAAAAAAAGAACCATTTCTGTGCTTTTGTTAAAGGGATTCTAAGTGGACCACTGACCATTAAACTAATTGAACATGTGAACAACCACATTCTCTTGTAGTCACAACAAGTTAGTATGAACAAACACCAGGTGCTGTATCTTATCTTACCACAGGCTGATCAACAGCATAACTTTATATTTGTATTTATTATAAACAGCAGGTAAGCTACCCTATCCCATCCATATATCTGCCCTTATAGCTCTTCAATGTGTCTACCTATACTAACTGTACTGCTAAATCAACATTGTATTTGTGGTATGATAACTTTGCAATATAAGATCTTCAGAGATATTTCAGAAATTCCATAGAACTCCCCCTCAACCCCCATCCTCTTCATGATCATCCGAAGTTCCCCAAAACACCTGACTGTACCCTGCCAACCCTTTCAAACCCCTTCCTATAACTCAACACTTTCCTCCCCAGACACCTAACTGTATCCCATCAAAACCTTCTTGACCCAAATCCTCTTCTTATAACACCTTCTTATCTTCTCTTCTAACCCCTAACTATACCCCAACCATCCCTTCTTTGACCCCACCCGTAACATCTACGACTTTCCTCCTTTAATCCTTAGCTTTGTCCCACCCATGCCTTTTCTGCCTTGACCCCACCTCTAACATCTACAACTCTCCTCCTCTAACCCCTAACTATACCTTGCCCATCCCTTAACTTCCTTCACTCCTTAAATCTAGTGAACAACTGCTTTCATTAAATTTTTAAAGAAACCTACCGGTAAAATATTGATAATTTAGAACTTGTTTCCAATCTTTTTGTTTCATATCTATTCCATCTGAGCATTCAAATAACAATCAGCTAAACAACCTTTTACCAAATAACAGAATTTGATAAAAACTCAATGGACAGGATAACATTCTCAAAAGCATGTCACTAACCCTTTTAAATATAAATGTAAACATCTACCAATTAACAATGTGTTTAGTGAAAATATTCTTTCTTTACGTTTAAAATACAGACATTCACATGTGAATTAACAAGTGATCACAAATTGATTCTACATTTAACATTTTAAGACATAAAACTTTAATTAGCCCAATCAAGGACCCACACCTGACATAGGTTATAACAATTATGATTATCAATACATGAATGACATAAAAATTACAAAGGGCACACACATGGAATAAGTATTTCATAGAAGTACGTTTATGTTCAATAATGAACCTACCTTTTTCAGTTACCCACTTGAATTATTAGATCCATTAGTAACTATTTAAGTGCAGCTAATGAATCACTCACTGGGCCATGATTAAAAAAGTTAAAAACTGCAATCAATGAAAAACATCTCAATCTGATATACCTTGAACCTTATAGGGTAGTTCAAGTCTGGCTCTACACCATAGAGTGACGGATGAGTTTGTACACATAACCGTCTGTCTGATTATAACAAAGGAAAGGTATCCATTGTACTTAAGAGTTGACATTAGAGGTGAAAACTCAGGTAATATACAGGAATGACATAATGTTAGCTACAGAAAACACCTGGAGGCATACCTTAAATCTACCTGTCTTTGTCAACTGACATTTGTACAGTAACCCTTCCAGGTACCAGTCAGAATATTTTACAGGAACAAATCACATTAAGATATGGATCTTGACAGAAGCAGAAAGAAACTAGCATGATAATTCAACAGATTCTCCATTACTCAAATCATTCAGGACTGTGAATTACCAGTATTCAATTTACAACTACTTGAATATATATCATAAACGCATTTGTAACTTGAAATATGTGAGGATCATATGTGTACTGCTACTTTCTTGCAATAAATGTTATTGGTAACCAAATTTGATAGAAAGACATTGCAGAACATTTTCTCTAAGTTGGTAATGTCAATAGACACAGACTCTCGTACAGCTATGACCAAGTGTTCAACAAAGTGTAGCCGAATTGACTACAGTTACTATCTTGTGTATTTTTTGGTCAACATTATGTTTACATCTCACCAAACTAGTTTTGACCAGAGTGTACACAGGTTGTAGTACAACCAAAAAGTTGGTTGATTCCTTATCATCTCATACACTATGTCTGTCAGTGCTGGTACACTCATGTGATCATGGTGATCATGTAGTCATTGAAAAGTCACATTCAAACCTCTTCTGATTGTGTTGTAAGAACTTCTATTCTATGAATGGAATAGCTTTATAGACTATAAGCCTATCTAAGGGTATTTTCAGTATCATTTCATATCTTAATACTTTGAGAGTTCTATGTATTGAAATATCTAACTAAATAGTGCTTCTAAATAATACAAGAGATCCCAGAGGGATTCTGGTGTCCACCATTGTTTGATCTTTATTTGCTCTTTGAAAGTTGGATCTTTTCCCTTCTTTTCTCTTCTCTTTTTTTTTGCTCTTAATGATAAGAAATTTTAACATTCCTTTGCAGAAACAGCAATGATAATCTTTACCTGCCAAATCCAAGATGGTCGCATGGAAGCAATTTTATTTTTCTGATCTGTCCCAAAATCAAACAGGCACAAGTAGAGACTAAGAGGCACACATACATATAGAATTTGAGAGTGATCTATGCAGTATTTCTCAAGTGGTAGCTATAACAAACTTTCAAAATAAAAATCCAAGATGGTCACCTGTTGGCCATTTCATTTTTTTCTGTTTAGACCCAAAATCAAACTGGCACAACAAGGGACAAAAGGGAGCCTACATATGAAAGAAAAATGAGAAAGATCCATCCAGTACTTCCCAAGAAATAGTGATAACAAAAATTATTTATGGCAGATGGACAGACCACAGTTGTAGGCGATTTGAACAGCCTACCATCTGATGAAAGTGGGCTAAAAAATTGGAAAACTTGCTTACATCAGCAAGTAATTTTAAAGAATGAAGACAAGTCTGCCTTTCAGTCTGTTCCATCAATACTTCCTATCTCGCAGATACAAAGATATGTCCCTTATTTTGCTTGCATTTGGTAGAAAATGCCTCTATGGTTTAAAATTTAAACAAATACTTGACACTGATATCTATAAGTACTATTTGAAAAATTAATATATATCATTTCATTGTTTGTCAGTGACAAATACTATACAATACAAATCCTTGACAGATGGGAAGGATAGATGGAACCATCCTGAATGATCCTTAGTACAATCATCATGTTATTACTGGGAACTGCAAGCAATAAATGATATATTTATTTTTTAAAACTTTAAGAACAGTAATCAATTCAGACAGCATCAATTATCGTAAATATCCCCTTTGTGCACACTTGTATATGATCAATAGTAATTTGCAGGAATATATCTCATTTTTTATAGAAATCGCCTGATGGTGCATTCACCATCTTTCAAAGGCCATGACAAATCAAATACTACACTGATCGTAAAAAAAGGTTATTTTTGCAAGGAATCTTCACAAAAATGATTACTTTTCATACAAGTACTTCTACCCCAAAAATTGTAGATAGTTGGGAAATCATGTCCAAATACTTAAACAAAACAAAACCCCAGAAAATGGGTTGATGTATTTAACTACTATCAATTGCTTTATATTAAATATTGAATGGTAATACTTTTGCAAAAATGTCATCAGCATATTTAACTTTACACAAAAAAAAGACCACACCATTCATGTTAATTATTTTTGAGAATTGTTCTGTGTTTTTGAAAAGTATTGATATTGCATAGAGATTTGACAATAACACGAATATGAAATATTTGATTATTAATGTCACAAAACATGTTTTGAAAATTCCAAGGCATATATTATAGGACTAAAGTGGATGACTGCTTTTGCCAGGCCCTGTGAATACTGACCCTTGCATGCAAGAGTTGCTAAACTTTTTTCTTATATAGGGAGGAATACTGAATATTGACTATAACCATGGCAAAAATTAAATCAGATATATAGTCAGAACTGTTTGAACTTAGCAAGTGCCTTAAAATGCCGTTTGAATATTAACCTGAGCTCTTCAAGACTTGTAAATTTTGAGAACTTTTAAGGAAAGCATTGTTGATTTCTTACTTAACATCAATGATATAGTCTTAATGGTATAAACATGTTATAAGGTATTGTGGTTACTATTTTTAAAGAATCCTGACCCTCAGTACCGTGCAGCAAGTCACATGCTAAATCTGTAAACATTGTTTACATTTGGACCACTACAATACGTCATCGCATCTCAAACCATAACACTCAAATTATAACATATAACTTACATGCTGTGTTAGATCAAGCACTATGTAATATGTTTGCAGTAGCAAAGCTCTAAACATTGCGACAGAAACGAGTAAAACCATGCATCTCTGTACAGCTGAACATCGAACTGTGAAACGGGCACCTGCACATCTTTATGTGATTGATTCATAAATAGCACTTCATTGAAAATCAAACAGCATTCATTACTAATGATATACAACATAAATAAACTTGAATACTTACTTCAATATATAACTGTCTCCATAGGTTTTACTGTATAGTCATGCTTGTTTTAAGTTGTGTACCACACATCGGTCCATATCCAAACGTTGTTTTGGTTCAATATGGACGACGGTTGGTCTACCGGTTTTGTTACAAGCTTTCTGATTAGTCAAATTTGGATTGATGCGCTGGGCGCTGTATTCAAAAACTTCTTTATCGCCTAATGACAGTTTGGATTTGTAGTGGATATATCTTAATTTTTACTATTCATACAAGGTTAAGAACTACAATTATCTTAATTCCACATTCCGAAAGATACTGTATACCTATTGGAACTCTTTTTAGACCTCGAAATGTGCAGATAAGGGTAACCTAAATTCCTTATCCGCGACGCTCTTGAAAGCGATTTTTTATGATCGGTTTAAGAAGTCGATAGATAACAAGCAGAGACATATATAGATATGTAGTGTTTTGCAGGTTTCTCTCGAGTAGTATCAAGCTGTACTATAGACTTATCGATGGCTAAACGTGTACCGCAGAAATAAGGGGTTTGATTTATCATTTATTAATCACAAACATATGTTCTCTTTTACAACAAATTTATATACATTTCTTACAAAAAACTTTTTAGATACAAACCTATTCTACTGACAAAAACTTCCATTCACATAACGGCCTTCACAGGCCCTTTTTTACGAGAAAGCCGTTTTAGGCAGTTTTAATTGATTGCGGTAGGAGTGTGTAAGGAAAGACAACTCTGTTATATTGGTTGCTGACCACTGAGTCCATTCGTTATCGGTCTCGTCTATCACAAGAAGGGTGCCCAAAAGAAACAAAACAATATTTAGGCCTACTTGTACACAAAGGAATGAGTTGGTGTTGGTGGGCTATGACCAGAACAAGAGACGTATCTCTTCAATGTTTTACTTGGCGTTGTCCATAAATAAGGACCTTGAATATAAGTTCCGCAGTTGTACACCAGAAAACGTTTTTTTGTGTATACAGTCTTTGTTCTCCTTACGCTTTCTTTATTAGAACTTATATAAGATTGTGCTAAAATGTTTTAGGAACAATGCACATAAATCATTTCCGGATTAGACGTACTAATATATGTTTATGATTTTAGATTGTTAATTTTAAAAAATGGCAACAACGTTGTTTATTTCTTTATTGACTGTAGATCCTATGGTCAGAAAGTACATATTCCATTTAATGTATAATATAGATATGAAATTGTAAGTCAAAATTTGTTCGTTGCTTCAAAAATAGATTCGCCTACTTGATAACGTTGTTAACAACACTCCTAACGTAAATTATAGCTCTTTTATGAATGCGTAACACGTTCGTGCTAAGTTTTATCAGTTATGAAAAGTATTACTAATTGAATAATGTTTATTTGACAGACTCTGTTGCCTGAAAATATAGATACATCCTTGAATATTTTCAAAAGGACGGTATTAGATGCATACATAACCTAAGACGCTAGATCGACCGTCCTCCTTCGGAATATAAATGCTTGCAGACTGTAAGATGAATTTATTCAACGATTTTTATCTTTAGCAAAATAATGATGAGATTCTTTGTTATTTTCCAGCTCTCAACTCAGCATTTCTAACTAATTAATCATTTAATAACTAGACTGTCCGCTTAGAACAACAGGAGTTACTTCCCTTCCACCAACATTAAATCCTTTCTTGAAAATACTGCATTAAAATATCATCACAAACACTCTATTCAAAACAAAAAAAGTGGATATTTGTGATATATAGACAGATTCAGTATACCAGAGACCTCAATTAGAGACTGAGTTTGGGCAGGTTCATCTCTATTTAAGTTTCTGAAAATAAATATACACAGCAAGTTTTACAGCGGATATTTGTGAAGTGCTGACAAGGGTTTACAAATAGTCAAACGGATGTTATTATTTCTAGTTAAAAGCCTGAGTTCACAACCTGTATCTCCCTCAGTGGGACGGGACAGTCAAATGATGTTTGCTGTATATTCATTGAGCTTTAAAGAAAGCTTAAAACTAAATAAGATATTTTTCATCATATAATGAATATTAACAAGATTTCTCGATGACAAATGACAATTCTGCGTGCCACTTTCATAAACTTACCCTAACAGGACAGAAATCTATATAGAAAACAACTTTTTTCAGTATCTGTCTTATACAATAGTTTTTTTTTAAATTAAATTACAGGCAGTGCACGTTGATCTTAATTGCACTCAGACCAAGATGCCTCACTTCTCGTCACAATTAGTGTTTCTCAGAAAGCCGAGAAATGGACTCCATTTGTTCTAGCATATTTTTCTTCTTTTTTTCCCCACTTTGCTCTGGATGGCTTGCGACGGGCATCCTGTATGCTATTGATTGAGGTAGCCGCTAACTACTAAAAGGAGAGACCCGGTCTCAAAATCACCCTAGCCGTTCACTGGGCGACAAACCCAATAGACACACCATGATGGAGCATTGTTTTTATACATCATCAACATAGTACAAGTCCAACCAAGGTCAACAAATGTAGTGCCGATACGCATGCATTCAAACCTTGGCCTGAATATCTCAGATCTTCTAATACTGGAAAAGGACAGTGAAAGGGAGTCCTATAAATAATTCTCTTGCTGTCGCCTATTTATTTGTTTTCAAATGTTTATATTTTTGTACTGATGTGAAATTTTCCTTTTCTGAACATTTTTTGTTTGTATTTCCCCATCCTGTTTAACTTTCAGTGTTTGTACATCACCTTTACGAATAACCATAACACGTGCTCGATTCGACATGATTTTAATGTGTATCGTTAAGCATGAGCATGTCTCCAATAGTAAAATTGTAAGCTTACCTGTTCACAATTCTTCTTTCCTAACCCGACCCAGTCTATACTCTACTCGATGTTGTGTAGTATAGCATATCACTAAATCTCTACAGTCATTCTATTGACATCATCTTCTATCCGTTATTTACATATTTTAAAATTCTCTTATCTTAGTTACTACGAATTTTGTAACCATTAGGATTTAAATCTTTTGAGAGTTGTCTTTCCTTACATACCCTAGATCCAGTACAAATATGTGTTCCGTAACTTCGGAGAAACTATAAGCGATTATATGGATAAAATGGTATATGAGTAGATTTTCACAATGATTTCAAGTGCCTGATTACTTACATGATGAACTTAATTCTGACGACAAAATTGTCTCAAAAAATTATCAGCAGCATTTCCAAATAGAACCGAAAACACTCAACATTTTATTATATTATTATCATTCAAGAATTTTTTGGCACTTTTTTCTGGGTTAAAAGTCGAATGAGAATAATCATAAAAATTGAGCTTATTACCTTGACTTATTCTTACTGTTAAATAATATTATTTTGTCTGATTTGAATTGACAACCGAAAACGAAAGTAGAAAATACTTGGAAATTCCAAAATGACATGTATTTCACATCAGACAAGGAAGAAATGAAGTAGACAGTTGCCAATATGGACCTGAGAGGCGAGGTTGTACAAACATGTATACTGATCAAATCGATTCCATTTGATACGGATGTCGAGTCTATAAAGAAAGCTGTCAGCGACCATGTGGTGGTGAACCGAGTATTCCGCTATGTGGAAAATGCAGACAACAACATCAGGTTCATAGTCCAACTAAGAACTCGGCAAGGTAAAGTAAATAGAGATCAGATTTTTATCAATAATTGACATCAAAGTTAAACTTACACTATATTTTCACTTGTCAAATGCTTCACTTTGTGAAAGAACATGGCATAGCGTTCATACCTGCCAAGTGTCTCAACAAGAGTCAAACCCTGGTCTACAGTTCTACCAAGCATGGCCTGTCAGCTGTATTGACTTGCATGTGAGTTTGGGTGGGTGTAGTAGCTATTTTGTAACATGACTGCACAATCAAGGTTTCCCTGAACATCACCTGTTTTTAACTTCGAAGTTCTATGCATGGGTTTGAGCTAAAACTTGCCAGAAATGATCTTGAGATGGTTCTGATCAAGTGTTATTTCCTTGGTCAGTCTAAAATCCAATATCGAGGCCATTTGAAATCTGAAACAAGGATTGTTATTTGCTGTTACTGCTAAAACTCACAAAACTGTTTTATTCATTTAATAACTATTCCTACTACTACTACTATAGTTTAATGACCACGGGCCTCTTGTTTTTGAATGCTGACAAAATCAATTTGATAAGATAACAACCACCATACACCAAAGTCTTTTTTACTCCAAAGCTTCTCATGTTAGTTCTGAAGCAGAGATCTGATCTTGCTGTTTAGTTGTAAGCTTTACTCTGGTCAAATTTTCCCATTTAAAAGACTCAGTTTTGTACAAAGAAACTGAAGTGTGATTATACATATGAGAAGCAATGAACCGAAGAGTACAAATTAAAGTGTATGATAAGATGTAAAAAAAAAATTTATACCATTGTGTGGCCAAAAAATGATATTGTTTTATGTTTTAGGGTTTGATGTCACGTTTAGATAACTGTTAGTAGAGAGAATGAAGCCAGTACAAGGAAGAATTTGTTTTACTCGGAAGTAGGAAGTGTATAGAAGTCCCAATGAGTGAATCACTTGCATTGATTCATCCCAGTTAAAATGGGAGATACAAAATATCAAACCTTTTTGTCATAAATAGATAATCTGTAAATGTTAAGTATTAACCTGATCGTAAAATTATCTCCTGGTTTTGGGTGTATGGTTATTTTATTAAGACTGGCTCATTGAGAACATTAGAAATAATCTTGTACAGACTGATTTTAAGTCTGACTCGGTGATAACAGTAGAATGATCAGCTACAGACTGATTTTAAGTCTGACTCGGTGAGAACAGTAGAATGATCAGCTACAGACCGATTTTAAGTCTGACTCGGTGAGAACAGTAGAATGATCAGCTACAGACTGATTTTAAGTCTGACTCGGTGATAACAGTAGAATGATCAGCTACAGACTGATTTTAAGTCTGACTGACTCGGTAGAGATCACAGTAGAATGATCAGGTACAGACTGATTTTACAGAACAGTAGAATGATCAGGTACAGACTGATTTTAAGTCTGACTCGGTGAGAACAGTAGGATGATCAGGTACAGACTGATTTTAAGTCTGACTCAGAACAGTAGAATGATCAGGCTCGGTGAGAACAGTAGAATGATCAGGTAGACTGATTTTAAGTCTGACTCGGTGAGAACAGTAGAATGATCAGGTACAGACTGATTTTAAGTCTGACTCAGAACAGTAGAATGATCAGGCTCGGTGAGAACAGTAGAATGATCAGGTAGACTGATTTTAAGTCTGACTCGGTGAGAACAGTAGAATGATCAGGTACAGACTGATTTTAAGTCTGACTCGGTGAGAACAGTAGAATGATCAGGTACAGACTGATTTTAAGTCTGACTCGGTGAGAACAGTAGAATGATCAGGTACAGACTGATTTTAAGTCTGAGAACAGTAGAATGATCAGGTACCGATTTTAAGTCTGACTCGGTGAGAACAGTAGAATGATCAGGTACAGACTGATTTTAAGTCTGACTCAGAACTGTAGAATGATCAGGTACAGACTGATTTTAAGTCTGACTCGGTGAGAACAGTAGAATGATCAGGTACAGACTGATTTTAAGTCTGACTCGGTGAGAATGATCAGGTACAGACTGATTTTACAGTAGAATGATCAGGTACAGACTGATTTTAAGTCTGACTCGGTGAGAACAGTAGAATGATCAGATCAGGTGATACAGGTACAGACTGATTTTAAGTCTGACTCGGTGAGAACAGTAGAATGATCAGGTACAGACTGATTTTAAGTCTGACTCGGTGAGAACAGTAGAATGATCAGGTACAGACTGATTTTAAGTCTGACTCGGTGAGAACAGTAGAATGATCAGGTACAGACTGATTTTAAGTCTGACTCGGTGAGAACAGTAGAATCAGATCAGGTACAGACTGATTTTATTTTAGTCTGACTCGGTGAGAACAGTAGAATGATCAGGTACAGACTGATTTTAAGTCTGACTCGGTGAGAACAGTAGAATGATCAGGTACAGACTGATTTTAAGTCTGACTCGGTGAGAACAGTAGAATGATCAGGTACAGACTGATTTTAAGTCTGACTCGGTGAGAACAGTAGAATGATCAGGTACAGACTGATTTTAAGTCTGACTCAGTGAGAACAGTAGAGAACAGTAGAATGATCAGGTACAGAGAACAGTAGAACAGTAGATCAGGTCTGATTTTAAGGTGACAGAACAGTGATTTTAAGTCTGACTCGGTGAGAACAGTAGAATGATCAGGTACAGACTGATTTTAAGTCTGACTCGGTGAGAACAGTAGAATGATCAGGTACAGACTGATTTTAAGTCTGACTCGGTGAGAACAGTAGAATGATCAGGTACAGACTGATTTTAAGTCTGACTCGGTGAGAACAGTAGAATGATCAGGTACAGACTGATTTTAAGTCTGACTCGGTGAGAACAGTAGAATGATCAGGTACAGACTGATTTTAAGTCTGACTCGGAGAACAGTAGAATGATCAGACTGATTTTAAGTCTAAGTCTGACTCGGTGAGAACAGTAGAATGATCAGGTACAGACTGATTTTAAGTCTGACTCGGTGAGAACAGTAGAATGATCAGGTACAGACTGATTTTAAGTCTGACTCGGTGAGAACAGTAGAATGATCAGGTACAGACTGATTTTAAGTCTGACTCGGTGAGAACAGTAGAATGATCAGGTACAGACTGATTTTAAGTCTGACTCGGTGAGAACAGTAGAATGATCAGGTACAGACTGATTTTAAGTCTGACTCGGTGAGAACAGTAGAATGATCAGGTACAGACTGATTTTAAGTCTGACTCGGTGAGAACAGTAGAATGATCAGGTACAGACTGATTTTAAGTCTGACTCGGTGAGAACAGTAGAATGATCAGGTACAGACTGATTTTAAGTCTGACTCGGTGAGAACAGTAGAATGATCAGGTACAGACTGATTTTAAGTCTGACTCGGTGAGAACAGTAGAATGATCAGGTACAGACTGATTTTAAGTCTGACTCGGTGAGAACAGTAGAATGATCAGGTACAGACTGATTTTAAGTCTGACTCGGTGAGAACAGTAGAATGATCAGGTACAGACTGATTTTAAGTCTGACTCGGTGAGAACAGTAGAATGATCAGGTACAGACTGATTTTAAGTCTGACTCGGTGAGAACAGTAGAATGATCAGGTACAGACTGATTTTAAGTCTGACTCAGAACAGTAGAATGATCAGGTACAGACTGATTTTAAGTCTGACTCGGTGAGAACAGTAGAATGATCAGGTACAGACTGATTTTAAGTCTGACTCGGTGAGAACAGTAGAATGATCAGGTACAGACTGATTTTAAGTCTGACTCGGTGAGAACAGTAGAATGATCAGGTACAGACTGATTTTAAGTCTGACTCAGTGAGAACAGTAGAATGATCAGGTACAGACTGATTTTAAGTCTGACTCGGTGAGAACAGTAGAATGATCAGCTACAGACTGATTTTAAGTCTGACTCAGAACTTTAAGTCTGACTCAGAACAGTAGAATGATCAGGTACAGACTGATTTTAAGTCTGACTCGGTGAGAACAGTAGAATGATCAGGTACAGACTGATTTTAAGTCTGACTCGGTGAGAACAGTAGAATGATCAGGTACAGACTGATTTTAAGTCTACTAGAATGATCGGTGAGAACAGTAGAATGATCAGGTACAGACTGATTTTAAGACTCGGTGAGAACAGTAGAATGATCAGGTACAGACTGATTTTAAGTCTGACTCGGTGAGAACAGTAGAATGATCAGGTACAGACTGATTTTAAGTCTGACTCGGTGAGAACAGTAGAATGATCAGGTACAGACTGATTTTAAGTCTGACTCGGTGAGAACAGTAGAATGATCAGGTACAGACTGATTTTAAGTCTGACTCGGTGAGAACAGTAGAATGATCAGGTACAGACTGATTTTAAGTCTGACTCGGTGAGAACAGTAGAGACAGACTGATTTTAAGTACTCGGTGAGAACAGTAGAATGATCAGGTACAGACTGATTTTAAGTCTGACTCGGTGAGAACAGTAGAATGATCAGGTACAGACTGATTTTAAGTCTGAGTAGAATGATCAGGTACAGACTGATTTTAAGTCTGACTCGGTGAGAACAGTAGAATGATCAGGTACAGACTGATTTTAAGTCTGACTCGGTGAGAACAGTAGAATGATCAGGTACAGACTGATTTTAAGTCTGACTCGGTGAGAACAGTAGAATGATCAGGTACAGACTGATTTTAAGTCTGACTCGGTGAGAACAGTAGTATGATCAGGTACAGACTGATTTTAAGTCTGACTCGGTGAGAACAGTAGAATGATCAGGTACAGACTGATTTTAAGTCTGACTCAGAACAGTAGAATGATCAGGCTCGGTGAGAACAGTAGAATGATCAGGGAGACTGATTTTAAGTCTGACTCGGTGAGAACAGTAGAATGATCAGCTACAGACTGATTTTAAGTCTGACTCGGTGAGAACAGTAGAATGATCAGGTACAGACTGATTTTAAGTCTGACTCGGTGAGAACAGTAGAATGATCAGGTACAGACTGATTTTAAGTCTGACTCGGTGAGAACAGTAGAATGATCAGCTACAGACTGATTTTAAGTCTGACCCGGTGAGAACAGTAGAATGATCAGGTACAGACTGATTTTAAGTCTGACTCGGTGAGAACAGTAGAATGATCAGGTACAGACTGATTTTAAGTCTGACTCGGTGAGAACAGTAGAATGATCAGGTACAGACTGATTTTAAGTCTGACTCGGTGAGAACAGTAGAATGATCAGCTACAGACTGATTTTAAGTCTGACTCGGTGAGAACAGTAGAATGATCAGGTACAGACTGATTTTAAGTCTGACTCGGTGAGAACAGTAGAATGATCAGGTACAGACTGATTTTAAGTCTGATCAGGTACAGACAGACTGATTTTAAGTCTGACTCGGTGAGAACAGTAGAATGATCAGCTACAGACCGATTTTAAGTCTGACTCGGTGAGAACAGTAGAATGATCAGGTACAGACTGATTTTAAGTTTGTGGATGAAAAAGGAGACAAACAGTGATGTCAGCGAAACTGTCAAAGCTGATTTAGGCACAGAGGTTCTGATTGGCCAGTTTTCTACCCTGACAGTAAATGAAAAGGAGAGCGTTGATTCAGCAGAAAGTAGAAGAGACAAGTGTGTTGATGATTTAGCATCTAGTAAAGAAACATACAACAGTAAACCTAATGAAGAGGCAGAGAAAGTGGAGGAGGAAGAGGATACAGTTGTGTATAGGCAAAGAAGACAGGTATGTTATGTTGCCTAACAGCTACTTGATTTTCACTGCCGTCTGTAATATTTTCTTGAAAATGAAGGACATTAATAACCTTTAAGGACATGATTTTGCGAGGGGAAACAACCTGTTTCCAACTGTAAGACAAAAAGCCAAAAAGTGTTTATCCTATCATCATCATCTCTAGAATTTCTATTTTTCTTATGCTTAGACATAAACTAAGCTGAATTTGATATATAAAGAAGAAAAAACCTCATTTGTAAGTTTGTGTTGTGTTTTTCTGTCCTCTATGTCTTCTATGTCACCCTGGGTACTCACTTTATACTAACTTAGCAAAGACTATCTATAAGAACCTTAGTCTCCTTATCTTCATGGATTATGGCAAAACTTGACGATAACACACCGAGAAAGAATGTTTAGGTAGAGGTGGAAGGTTAAGAGCAGCATTACTTTTTTATAAAGATTTTATTTTCGAATTGTTGTCAGTTTTGTAACAAGTTCATTTCATAATCAGTTAACTTTGATGAACTTTGAACAATGGTCAAGTATAGGATCACCCAGAATAATGTTGTCATGTTAACTTTTTCATTGCATCACAATAAAATGCTATGTCGTAGTGATGGGACAGTAGTCGAATATAATCAATTATCTGATCATTTAACCTCATCTGATGCGATGATCGATTGTAATTTTTCATAATTGATCATTGGTACCTTTTGTGTTTGAATAAAAACAAAATTCAGATTATGCATAATTAAGACACCAATCGTCAATAATATTCATTCTTATGCAAATTCTAAATACATGTAAGTGATGTATTTAAGGTTAAAGTTAAAAGAAAAGAAAACATTATTGCAGCAAAAAATGAATTCACTTTTTAGCTCACTTGGCCCAAAGGATCACTGCAGGCCCATTGGGCCTCGCTATGAATATTGAACACACAGTCAACCAGTTATGTAATTGATTAACTTCATCCAAAAACCTATTAGATATTAACTGATAACCAATTATGAATTTTAACCGAATACCCATCATTACTATCTCAATTTATCATTGTTGGAAGGAGAGGAATTGAATTGTTTGCAGTGCCTTGTTGTATTTTCTGTACAAATATTCCAGTTAACTCATTTTCCACATGATAAGCGCTATATGCATATATGGGTGTCTTTGCAGGAAACTTCAAACGTGCCAAGTAAAACCATGCTAGATCTGACAAGTTACAGTTCTCCTTCTGACACTCCACAGGCAGATGTATATGGTCCAGTTGGAGATGTCTACATGCCAATGTGGAGTCTAGGGTCAAATCAAAGACCTAGGTCAGCAATTGAATCTAATGTCACAACAAGGTCAACAGAAAACGTTCAAAGGTCATTGTCTGTTTTTGTTGATGGTCATAAATCATTGACGGAGGAAAATCTGTCAGGATTATCAGACATAAAGAAAAAGGAAAAAGCCTTTGAGAGAACTGTTCCCATGGTTACAACAAGAGTGAATAAAGGCAATGATAGCTCAGATATTTCAAAAATGGCTGGAGATCCTAGCTTGGTAACAAGTACTCTACCATCTGAACATGAGAATGATGCTCAATCAAAAATCACAAATTTGAAATTCCAAGCAAATGAATTAGAATCAATAGAGAAAGATGATTTATACAAGTGCAAGGGTGAAGAAATAGAAGATGTAGTGGGGGAGGACTCTGAGAGATGTACGACAAGGGTTACTGACCTGCTGGTCAAAGAAGAGGAGAGAGGTGTTCCTTCTATAGGGGCAGAAACTCCAAGGGTTTTAACTACAGGTGTGATACCAGATGGTACTGATTGGCAAAGTCCAGGACCAGAAAAGAGGATTTCACAAGGTAGAACAGAGTATAATGTGGGAGAAAGTATCAGCACTACAGATAGTACAGGGTCTACACTTGGACGGCAGGAAAGTGATCTAGTAAACACATTAGCCACGACAGGACACAAGAGCGTAAAACCAACCACAGAAACATCAGGGGAGATCACTGCAGAGTCTTCCTTACCACAACAAAGATCATCACCAGGTCACTTACATCCAGAACAGCCTTTTACTGGTCAGTCAAGTCAACTACAGCATTCTGCTGAATCTGATCAACATCAACTGTCAAGTCCTCATTTAGGTCTTTCTTCACCCTTCACCAGTAAAGAAAGTCAGTCCCTGGCAAGTCAGATTCTGCTTACTGGTGAACCAGATCAAGGTCAAAAACTTCCTAGTCAATTAGGTCAAGGTCAACAGCTTACAAATCAGGTAAATATGGATCATCTCCAAAGCAGTCGATGTCAGCAGCTCTCCAGCCAGCTGGATCCTAGTCTACCAATCACCAGTCAGACAGCTTTAGATCAGCCTCTTACTGCTCAAGTAGATTATTGTCAGCAGTCCACTAGTCACATGGGAAATGATGAGCATCATACTGGCATGTTAGCTCAAGGTCAACATCTTATAGGTCAGTTAAATCAAGGTCAACATCTTATAGGTCAGTTAAATCAAGGTAAACTTGTTACTGTTCAGATAGAGCATGGTCAACATATTACAGGTCAGATAGAGAAAGGTCCACAGATTGTTGGTCACCTAGATTCAGCTCAGCCATTGACTGGTCAACAAGGGCCAACTTTGCCCCTTACAAATCAGGAAGGTTTTGGTCAACAGCGTGGCGATCGACGAAGTCCAACTCCACTCCTTCCTGGTCAATCAGTTCAAGGTCAGCAGCCTTCTGATCAGTTAGGTGAAAGTCAGCCTTTTACTGACCAGAAATTGGGTAATGATGAGCAGTCAAACACAGGTCACATAGGTCCATATCATTATGTCACTGGCCACTTGGGTACAAATCAACCATACACTGGTCAATTACATCCAACTCAAGGGATCAGTGGTCAGCAATTTTCAAATGTATATGGTCAACAGATGATACAGCAAGGGGCCATTCTTCCTCCACAAAATCATCAATATCAAAGGCAAAGTGGTCAGATAATGTGGCCAGTGAATTACCCATACCATTATCCATCCAATGCTAACATGAACTATCAACCTAACTTGGGGCCTGGTTATCCCAACTATAGCATGCCACAACATGTGCCTCCTGGCATATTACCACACCAAGCTCCACATGTGACTTATGGTATGTCACCACACCAAGCTCCAGGTACAGCTCCAGGCATGCCACCATACCAAGCTCCACATGTGGCTCATGGTATGCCACTATATCAAGCTCCAAATGCTGCAGTTGGTATGCCACCACACCAAGTTCCACATGTAGCTTCTGAAAAGCCACCACATCAAGCTCCAGTTACAGCACCAGGAATGTCATCGCACCAAGCCCTACATGTGGCATCATGTGAACCTCAAGAGAATCAACCACAAAGTACAGCCTCTAGCAAGATATCACCACTTACTGGCACTGGAAGGGAGACAACTAGTCCTGCCTTACATCAACCTGTTTCTACTCCAGAAAACATCCCAGTTGTCACAGGGGCAACTAGCATGACTAGACCTTTGTCTGTAATCGATATTTTCAAAAGAGAAATGTTGACTGATAACAAATGTCTTGTCCCAGAAAAGGTTGGCCAAAAACAAGAAGTCCAAAAAGGGAATTCTATTTCTACTGCAAAAGAAATGGAAGCAGATTGTATTCGACAGCTGCAACAGTGGGCCCAGTCTCCAGTAAAACCACACAGCCAACAGGAGGAGATTATATCTGGACACACAGCAGGTATAAGTTACCTTCACACAATATTTAGTGTGATTTATCTCGTAAACATCATCAAAATTCACTGTTGATGGAATTTCTGTTGATTGAGTACTATTTTAACTTTTTTTCACCAATGTTTTTAGCTATTCACCCTGAATCAATCATATCAACACAAAAATAACAAAAAAAGGTCTGGGGTGGGGAAATTTAGGGTGGGGCAGGGGGAGCGTGGGAGGAGGTGTGGGGTCACTTCAACATGGCCATGTGTTTATATGATTGAATCAAGGTGAATAGCAAAAAATGGGTGGACAAATAGGAACAAGTACATACTCGTCTGTTAATAGGAATAGGTTTATACTCTGTTTATAGGAACAAGTATATACTCTTCTGTCATGAGGAAAAAGTATATATTATTTTTCTTCATATCGAGAGATCATCTATTACAAAGAGCAAACGATTGTGTATATCCACAAGGATAGCATGAACTCAATTATCTTTAAGTTGTTTCTATACAGCTAACACTTTTCCTCTACACCAACAGATCCCAGACAGGAGCACTTGTATGATACTGTCTTGTCTTATCAAGATTTGCATCATTTGAAAGAAATAATAAACTTTGGTCAGATCAAACTGCTGGAAGGAAAACTCACTGATGTCCAGGTAATTAATTTTCTATGGTTTTAAATGTCTAAAAGTTTTAACATTTAAAACTCAAGTTCCATCCGTGGGATTGAGCTGAAACTTGCCTGAAATGATCCTGAGTTGGTCCCTATTTTTACTATCGAAAACGAAATGGCATATGCTACCCTGGCTGCCATTTTGAAAAACACATTTTGAAACTTCCTCTATTCCGCTGGTACCATTCAGCTAAAGGAGGATCATAGAGCCTGTATTGCTCACCCGATGTAGTTTGCTGAAATTCATTAATTTAAATGAAAGGAAAAGTATTTAAAACACTTGTATCTATTTATCTATTTCCTTGTTACTGACTGCTCCTCCCCCTAAACAGGGTCAGATACACTGTTTGTACATAACCAAGTTCTTTTCACTAACAGAAGAAAGAAATAATTTGCTCTAGGCCCACCCCACCAGCCTTAGGGGAATGAGATCCACCATTTATACAAAATTGATTCCTCTTAACTCAAGCATGCTTCAGGCAAAATTGGGACAACATCCAGGTATTCTTACAGAAGAAGGGTTGTAGGATTTGTCTGTATTTCCCCTATCGTGTCCCGCCCCTCTTGCCCCAAAGGGCCAAAAAACCGAAAGTTTATACAAAACTGATTTCCCTTCACCCAAGCATGTTTCAGACCAAATTTGACAATATCTTGTAATTCCTGAAGAACATTGTTGCTGTGATTGTGACATCATCAGTTGACATCAAACAAAGATAGCCTCTGCACCGGTGAATTTTGACATCAGCAAATAAAAATGCAGACTTTTCTAGATAAACTCCATTTCATTCCCTAACTTTATTTACAAATTCATAAGAATGATAAATAATGTAACCAGCTCTCCCATAAACCTGCATCACTGTCAACCTGGTATATTTGAGTGCAAATTTTCAAACAAATGAGATCCCCTGATGTAGGTATTCAATGACCTATCATTGTCACTGTTCTATCAACATCTCATTATGGCGACCAGTCTTAACCAAACATGGAATCTTCTAGTCAACAATAGAAAGTATTGTTATTCCTAACATCTGATTGTGATTTGTTATGTATGGTATAGTTGTAGGATATCAGCAGGAGAAACATGGGTATTTTATGTACAAATATACCAGACATACATGTAGATGTAGATGCTTGGTCTATATTCCCTCATTTATTTAAAGAATTTCAAGGACCTTGGGTCAGTGTCAAGGTCACGGTGTGGTTTTTAGAAAATCATAGTAAGAACTCTAGTGGCTTCATTTCTTGTGGGATTATTATACTGATAACATGGTAGTTATGTAATGAGTGATATTATACTGATAACAGGGAAGTTATGTAATGAGTGATATTATACTGATAACAGGGAAGTTATGTAATGAGTGATATTATACTGATAACAGGGAAGTTATGTAATGAGTGATATTACACTGTTAACAGGGAAGTTGTGTAATGAGTGATATTATACTGATAACAGGGAAGTTGTGTAATGAGTGATATTATACTGATAACAGGGAAGTTATGTAATGAGTGATATTATACTGATAACAGGGAAGTTATGTAATGAGTGATATTATACTGATAACAGGGAAGTTATGTAATGAGTGATATTACACTGTTAACAGGGAAGTTGTGTAATGAGTGATATTATACTGATAACAGGGAAGTTATGTAATGAGTGATATTATACTGATAACAGGGAAGTTATGTAATGAGTGATATTATACTGATAACAGGGAAGTTATGTAATGAGTGATATTATACTGTTAACAGGGAAGTTATGTAATGAGTGATATTACACTGTTAACAGGGAAGTTGTGTAATGAGTGATATTATACTGATAACAGGGAAGTTATGTAATGAGTGATATTATACTGATAACAGGGAAGTTATGTAATGAGTGATATTATACTGATAACAGGGAAGTTATGTGATGAATGTTAAAACACTGATAAGAATGTAGTTATGTAATAGGTGTTAAAACTCTGATAACTGGTTAGTTATAATACACGTAATGTTCGTAGATTTGGTACTCTTTAATTCTGTAAACAACTTTTACAATTTATCACAGGCTGATGTGATAGTGAATCCAACCAACAAGGACCTACATTTAGCTTCTGGAAATGTATCCAAAAGGATACTGGAGGCTGCTGGAGAACAGATTCAGGCGGAAGGTAGAGAGAAATATCCCCTGGGAATCAACCAAAGGGTTGTTGGCGTGACTGCTGGAGGAAAACTAGACTGTCAGAAGATATTTCATGTGGTTTTACCTCGATGGGATGGTCAGGCAGAATCTGCAGATAAGGTATTGAAGCCAGACTGCAGAATGGCTCATGTACTGTTCCTTATTTCTCCAGTAGGAGGTCCCCTCCCCACTTGATTTTCAGTGAGAAGTTGTATATTGACCTACAATTGTTATGGGTTAAATATATCATTTGTTGATGTTACCTGAACACTGCAGTTTCCTTGAATGTTTGTTAATGTATAAACTTAATGATGGTCATGTGAAAAAGATATAAGAAAAATAAGGATAAAGTCTTACAGGAAACATTTCCTTACTTAGGTAAGTGGTATCATTATTATACTGATCTTATTGAGAAATAATTCATTTCTTTGTGAGATATGAGGTAGACATGTTTGATGCTTGTTAGTTTGCCTGCTGGTTCTATTGTTGTATACCTTGTTCTCATTTGAGAATGTGACATTACCAACTTTGATTGATCAAGGTTTACATTGCAGGTGTGAAGCAAAAGACACTTACTCCTACAGAACACCTGGTCTTCTTCTTGTACTTTTTCAGGACTCTTCATGCAAATTCTTTCTTTTGTTTACATCTTGCCCTAATTTTATTGAATTTGAGTTTGGATTATGATTAAATTGACCTGTTGGTATTTTGATGTTTTTTATGCACCCCGAAAAATTTTCGGGGGAGCATATAGTTACCAAAATGTCCCTCTGTCTTTCCTTTCATATCGGTGGCATAACTTTGCACACAGTTAAGCAATATTCATGAAACTTGGTGTATACATTTGTAATACTAAGGCGATGTGCAGTGTATCAAATTTAGAGTTATCACCCTTTGTTTAAACTTTGTGTCTAGAGCACAACATCAAATTGTTTGCATTTAAACAAGGATAATGAATCTTGGTGGATACATTGATCATACTAAGACAATGTGCAGTGTACTGATGTTAGGGCCCACAACACCTTAATTACAGATGTTGTTGCCCTTCATTGAAATTTTGGGACTGGGGCTGTAACTTTACCAGCATTTAAAGAAACTAGGATATTGAAATGTGGTATATACATCAGTCATACAAAAAAAAGGTGCAGTGTAGCAATGTCAAGGCCCATGACCCCTCAGTTAGAGTTATTGTCCTTTGTTAAAATTTATGTCGTAATCCATTAAACCTAGTAGAATAACTGTTTACATTGTAGGCCCTGCAACAGCTGGTCACAACATGCCTGTCTATGCTGGTAGATCTGAATCTCTTCTCTATTGCCTTTCCTGCGCTTGGTACTGGGAAAACAGGATACCCTGCAGATATTGTAGCCAAAGCCATGCTTGAGAGTACCAATAGATTTCTGATTAACAGAGAAAAGACAGTGTTGGTGAACTTTGTTATTTTCCATGGAGACAAAGCAAATAGAAAGGTAACATGGTAGTTTGTTAGTTACTATGGAGACAAAACTGATAGAAAGATATTTCTCTAGGTTGTTAGTTACCATCAGGACAAGCTAATAGAACAGTATCACAGTACAAATTCCTTTGTAGTTATTAAAACTTGGTTAATAAATGGTGAATTATCTCATGAAAATCATACTGGTTCCATAGTAATATCAATAAAATGAAGTAATGAAAAATATATCAAATACTTGATGTTTTATATCAAAGAAAGAATTTTGAGAGATAGAAATCCCTGTGTGATAAATAGCCTTATGAAACTTTTTAAGAATTTAAGGATAGAATTCCCTGTGTGATATTTATCCTTATGAAGCCCTCTAAAATTTCATGGGTAGAATTCCATGTGTGATATATATCCTGTAGAAGCCCTATAAAATTTTAAGGATAGAATTCCCTGTGTGATATTCATCCTGTAGAAGCCCTATAAAATTTTAAGGATAGAATTCCCTGTGTGATATTTATCCTTATGAAGCCCTCTAAAATTTCATGGGTAGAATTCCATGTGTGATATATATCCTGTAGAAGCCCTATAAAATTTTAAGGATAGAATTCCCTGTGTGATATTCATCCTGTAGAAGCCCTATAAAATTTTAAGGATAGAATTCCCTGTGTGATATTTATCCTTATGAAGCCCTCTAAAATTTCATGGGTAGAATTCCATGTGTGATATATATCCTGTAGAAGCCCTATAAAAATTTAAGGATAGAATTCCCTGTGTGATATTCATCCTGTAGAAGCCCTATAAAATTTTAAGGATAGAATTCCCTGTGTGATATTTATCCTTATGAAGCCCTCTAAAATTTCATGGGTAGAATTCCATGTGTGATATATATCCTGTAGAAGCCCTATAAAATTTTAAGGATAGAATTCCCTGTGTGATATTCATCCTGTAGAAGCCCTATAAAATTTTAAGGATAGAATTCCCTGTGTGATATTTATCCTTATGAAGCCCTCTAAAATTTCATGGGTAGAATTCCATGTGTGATATATATCCTGTAGAAACCCTATAAAATTTTAAGGATAGAATTCCCTGTGTGATATTTATCCTTATGAAGCCCTCTAACATTTCATGGGTAGAATTCCCTGTATGACATATATCCTGTAGAAGCCTTATAAGATTTTAGGGGTAAAATTCCCTGTGTGATATATATCCTGTAGGAGCCCTATAAGGGATTGAAACCAGTTCAGTTATTAATCAAATCATTTAACATCCACGTTTGCTCCTGTGATTGTGCCCTACCAACTGATGTTCCTATCAGTCATCTTGCATACCTTGGGCGTCCAGACCAAGGGTCTTGTGATGAAGTAACCACCATTGAAGACATGATGGCATAGAAATAGATTGCAATAATGTTTTAATTAGTCCAGTCTGAAAATATGCCCTAAAAGCAGCGAATTACTACTTACCAATGGCATTTATAACTATATGAACCTGTGACATATAAACGAAAACCAGTATTTTAACTTACCATAGGATTTGTTGTGTTACATTTATCTTATGTTTGCACATACACAGGCTTTTAAAAACATAGCCTTGTCAGTTCTGGAATCAAATGATGAAGAAGAACCGATGGAGGTAGATGATCTGGAACAACAGGAACACCGTAGTAACCATCCATATAAACAAATTCAAGATCACCATGGTGACCATACTTATATGAATTTGAGCAGTCAGGGATGTGATGAACATATTTATGAATCTATTAATATCAAGCATTCAGAAGGTCAACCAGACTTGTTACAAAATATTGATGAAAGTCCGTATATGAAGATGGATTTCAATAAACCAATCATTGGAAAGCAAGCCACTCTTAAAGACAAGGATGGTTCATACATCAATATGCAACAATTCAGAAAACAACAAAGTGACACAGAGACATCAAACATGAGATTCAGGGAGACAGAAAGAGCCAGGGGGTTACAACCAGAGAGTAAATCTTCAGAAGGTAGGTTTTCATAGTTCCTTTGGGCCATAAAGATTGTGACCCAGAGAGACAGAAAGAGCTTGGAGGTTACAACCAGAGAGTAAGTCTTCAGGAGGTAGGTTTCTGGAGTTTAATACTTTTAAACAACCTCCCTGTAATGCTCACTGAGGAACTAAACAAAATGAAATCTTTGATATGTACAAGAATAGGTCAGAGGTCAGAGGTCAAGCTGTATTTCTATTTTAATTAACAGTTGGTTATTTTAGCCTTGATTTTTGTTAGATAATAGCCATATGTTCCTTTTCTTTTTGTCTCACTATTGTCTATTGTCATATTTTGTAACTTCACAACAAATAAATGGCCATTAAGTTTTATGTATCTTGAGAACAATTTGCCTCGCCCTCCAAACCTAAAGCATGTGGAGCAGTCACATCGATATTTTGTTATCTACAGTATGTGTGAGCCAGCTTGTACTTTGGTAACACAACATGTATCACATTACTGAATCACATGACTTTTCAAGTGTAGTCACATTTGACTCTCACAAAGAAAATGGCAATTAATATGAAGCTATCAGTTACTAATAAAGAAGGCTTGCAGAATCCATTTCTCTTACAGTTCAGTATTAACGAATTTGAAGTCATTATTTGATCAACATTTACAAATACATCTGAAGAGGTGAGTTAAAAAAAAGTGATTTATAGTAAGTAAGTAAAGGTCAAGGTCACTTTTTCATAATAGAGCAAGAGGGTAAATTTGGAAGTACTGGAAACATACACACTCTTTGTGACATTGTCTATAATATTGACAGATTTACCCATGATACCTAACCAACGGCCACAGTTCCTGAGGGTGACCTATCCAAAACCTTTAACAGAAGATGACCTTAAATTCTACTTTGAGAATGAGAAGAAATCAGGAGGTGGGGAGATTCTCAAAATTGAGCATAACAGTAGAAAAAGAGTGACTTTGATCCAGTTTGAGGATCCAGATGGTAAGGGGAAGTCTTTAAATTCCTAATAAAAATAGTGAAAAAAGAATTAAGATATTTTTTGTTGACATGGTTTCAAAAGACATTTTCAAAATATTGTCCGCAGCATCCCTTGGCAAATACTAGGGTCAAGGAAGGATTACTCTTAGATTTATATGAAGTTGTACTATTTTTATACCAGCTTTCATGAATTGAGCTATTTTATTGTAAATGCACGGTAAAAAATGACTTGATAAATGAGAAACATGCAATCACCATTTCTTAAAAGATAAATTTAGAAAAAGTGACTCATTTAGAATGACTTGTTCATTGACTCACTGTTAAGAAATTGTATACTAACTCACTGACATACATACGCTGACAAAGAAATATTTGGACACTGACTCACAAGAATGACTTGTTCATTGACTCACTGAGAAAGATTTAAACATGGACTTGGCAAGGAGACTTGTATAATGACTTGATGAAAAGATTGTATATTGAAAACTTATGTGAATGAATTCTACACTGACTCAGTAAAAAGGAATTAAACATTGTCTCATTGAGAGGGACTTGTACATTGACTCAGTGAGTAGGACTTGTAATCTGACTCAGTGAGAAGGACTTGTAATCTGACTCAGTGAGAAGGACTTGTGCTCTGATTCAGTGAGAAGGACTTGTAATCTGACTCAGTGAGAAGGACTTGTGCTCTGACTCAGTGAGAAGGACTTGTGCTCTGATTCAGTGAGAAGGACTTGTAATCTGACTCGGTGAGAAGTACTTGTGCTCTGACTCAGTGAGAAGGACTTGTGCTCTGATTCAGTGAGAAGGACTTGTGCTCTGACTCAGTGAGAAGGACTTGTAATCTGACTCAGTGAGAAGGACTTGTAATCTGACTCAGTGAGAAGGACTTGTAATCTGACTCGGTGAGAAGGACTTGTAATCTGACTCAGTGAGAAGTACTTGTAATCTGACTCAGTGAGAAGTACTTGTGCTCTGATTCAGTGAGAAGGACTTGTAATCTGACTCAGTGAGAAGGACTTGTAATCTGACTCAGTGAGAAGGACTTGTAATCTGACTCAGTGAGAAGGACTTGTAATCTGACTCAGTGAGTAGGACTTGTAATCTGACTCAGTGAGAAGGACTTGTAATCTGATTCAGTGAGAAGGACTTGTAATCTGACTCAGTGAGAAGGACTTGTAATCTGACTCAGTGAGAAGGACTTGTAATCTGACTCAGTGAGAAGGACTTGTGCTCTGACTCAGTGAGAAGGACTTGTAATCTGACTCAGTGAGTAGGACTTGTAATCTGACTCGGTGAGAAGGACTTGTAATCTGACTCAGTGAGAAGGACTTGTAATCTGACTCAGTGAGAAGTACTTGTAATCTGACTCAGTGAGAAGGACTTGTAATCTGACTCAGTGAGTAGGACTTGTGCTCTGACTCAGTGAGAAGGACTTGTGCTCTGACTCAGTGAGAAGGACTTGTAATCTGACTCAGTGAGAAGTACTTGTAATCTGACTCAGTGAGAAGTACTTGTGCTCTGATTCAGTGAGAAGGACTTGTAATCTGACTCAGTGAGTAGGACTTGTGCTCTGACTCAGTGAGAAGGACTTGTGCTCTGACTCAGTGAGAAGGACTTGTAATCTGACTCAGTGAGAAGTACTTGTAATCTGACTCAGTGAGAAGTACTTGTGCTCTGATTCAGTGAGAAGGACTTGTAATCTGACTCAGTGAGAAGGACTTGTGCTCTGACTCAGTGAGAAGGACTTGTAATCTGACTCAGTGAGAAGTACTTGTAATCTGACTCAGTGAGAAGTACTTGTAATCTGACTCAGTGAGTAGGACTTGTGCTCTGACTCAGTGAGAAGGACTTGTAATCTGACTCAGTGAGAAGTACTTGTAATCTGACTCAGTGAGAAGGACTTGTGCTCTGATTCAGTGAGAAGGACTTGTAATCTGACTCAGTGAGTAGGACTTGTAATCTGACTCAGTGAGAAGGACTTGTACTCTGACTCAGTGAGAAGGACTTGTGCTCTGACTCAGTGAGAAGGACTTGTAATCTGACTCAGTGAGTAGGACTCGTAATCTGACTCAGTGAGAAGGACTTGTAATCTGACTCAGTGAGTAGGACTTGTGCTCTGACTCAGTGAGAAGGACTTGTGCTCTGATTCAGTGAGAAGGACTTGTAATCTGACTCAGTGAGAAGGACTTGTGCTCTGACTCAGTGAGAAGGACTTGTGCTCTGACTCAGTGAGAAGGACTTGTAATCTGATTCAGTGAGAAGGACTTGTAATCTGACTCAGTGAGAAGGACTTGTGCTCTGATTCAGTGAGAAGGACTTGTGCTCTGACTCAGTGAGAAGGACTTGTAATCTGACTCAGTGAGAAGGACTTGTAATCTGACTCAGTGAGAAGGACTTGTAATCTGACTCGGTGAGAAGGACTTGTAATCTGACTCAGTGAGAAGTACTTGTAATCTGACTCAGTGAGAAGTACTTGTGCTCTGATTCAGTGAGAAGGACTTGTAATCTGACTCAGTGAGAAGGACTTGTAATCTGACTCAGTGAGAAGGACTTGTAATCTGACTCAGTGAGAAGGACTTGTGCTCTGATTCAGTGAGAAGGACTTGTAATCTGACTCAGTGAGAAGGACTTGTGCTCTGACTCAGTGAGTAGGACTTGTAATCTGACTCAGTGAGAAGGACTTGTAATCTGACTCAGTGAGTAGGACTTGTGCTCTGACTCAGTGAGAAGGACTTGTGCTCTGATTCAGTGAGAAGGACTTGTAATCTGACTCAGTGAGAAGGACTTGTGCTCTGACTCAGTGAGTAGGACTCGTAATCTGACTCAGTGAGAAGGACTTGTAATCTGACTCAGTGAGTAGGACTTGTGCTCTGACTCAGTGAGAAGGACTTGTGCTCTGATTCAGTGAGAAGGACTTGTAATCTGACTCAGTGAGAAGGACTTGTGCTCTGACTCAGTGAGAAGGACTTGTGCTCTGATTCAGTGAGAAGGACTTGTAATCTGACTCAGTGAGAAGGACTTGTGCTCTGACTCAGTGAGAAGGACTTGTGCTCTGATTCAGTGAGAAGGACTTGTAATCTGACTCAGTGAGAAGGACTTGTAATCTGACTCGGTGAGAAACATTTATAGTTAATTATTGAGGAGTACTTCTATACTCACTTCCAAAATGACAAATATTTCTGTAGAAATAAGTAAGGGACAATCTTTACGCTACTCAATAAGGACTTATATAGTGACCTATACATCCAATGCAACTCTACTGATATATTTCATCCATATTTCAGTTGCTTTACATGTAGTTGACAGAACTCACAAACTGTGTGGATCACAGCTTCAAGTTACCATAGTAACAGGAGAAATCCCTCCCACCATAGAAGAGAAAAAGCTGCTAGTTTGTAACATAAACCCCAAAACAACAGAAGATACTCTAATGAACTTCCTAGAGGCGAAGGTTAAGGCAGTGCCAACAGATGTCATGTATAGCACCCGAAAAGATCGGGCAGTCATCTCATTTGACAGTCAACCAGGTATTTCATTTGTATACATATATAATGAATATTTATGTGGAGGACTAAAGTAAATTAAACTAAACTAAACTAATACGTCTAGAGACTCAGTGATGATATGAGTTTATGAATATTGAAAAATATTTTGAAAAGGATAATTACAATTGAGAAGATGCTATTGACGTGTATGTCTTTTGCACAATTCTTGTATCTCCAACTAACTAGTAACCAGTTTCAATAATAAAGCTCAAAATTAAAACATGAGAGGAATCTTTTACTTAGTTTTATGTCATCACGATCAAATGGGTAGTTACCAAGGAGATTTAAACATGCCACTTTCTGTTCCCAGATTTTGACATGCTTCAGCAAATTTGTAAGACTAGGCCATTAGATGGTAACCACCTGAAAGTATCACATGTTCCTGTGTCCTCTGTGGTTTTGGTGAAAGACTGCCCTTCTGTCTCAAAGGATACTATCTTGCTTTATTTTGAAAGTAAGAAAAGCAATGGGGGCAACGTTGAAAGAGTGGAAATCCTCCCCGACCAGTCGGAGTGTCTTGTCCATTTTGAAGACCCTGCAGGTAAGAGAAAGAAGATATTCATAGATGAATAGTTCTGATTGTGGTAGGGTATATTTGAGAATCAAAAATAAGGTTAAAAAATGAAACAAAATTACATATTATCACCGTGAATTTTAAAATTGTACAATTAAGTGTTTTTTTTATTTCAAATAATTACATCAGAATGCTTTTTTATTGTGAATAATTCAGAGTTTAATTTGATACAATCAAATGTTTCTTTGTGTTGAAGTTTTGAATAATTTCGACTTCCATATACCTGAAAGTTAACTTTCTGCAAAAAGTTTGAGATTCAATCCAATTGGATCTGTCTATGTTGCAATGGTGTCTGAATTTCAGATAACTTAGCAGGTTTGAAAAATGTCTGTGTCAACATTTTTATTTAGTCTTGAAAACATAAGCTATATATCATTACCATGTTGATATATTTCAAAGAACCAAGGAGTAGAAGTAGATAGATATAAAAACTGTTTTTGTCTTTCAATGTACAGTCTAACCTGTATTTAACGGCTACTGTTGGGAAATTATGAAGGTGGCCTTTATAGAGAGGTGGCCTCTTAATTGAGGTTCCTTATTTTCGAACCCAAGTTGCGGCAATTTGCACATTGACATTTGAATACAGTTTAATAATAAGATATAAAACATTATCTGTTATCATTTATTATCTTGTTAGCAAGTAATTTGAAGAAAGACCAATCTTTATTTTATGACACAACTATAAATACAAAAGAACAAAATTGAAAGGAAGGCATGTACAAGTCTGAATGAAGCTATTGAAAAATTCTTAATCGAACAACCGTAATGTTCTACCTGTAATTTTGCATGTGATTCAAGTCAAAACATTTTCTTCATGGTTTGGTTTGTTAATGCAAAATTATTCCCAATAATTGTTAATATTTGCTGGAATATATTACATTTACAACCAAAAAAACGTAAAAATAAATTATTCATTCTTAATCTGCCTTCATTTTCATCCAAACACTCAATGCCATGTTTAAACGACATCCAGTAAAGACTAGTATCTAGAGTGGGTGGGAACTTTATAATGACGTTGCACGAAAAAATGGTGGCGGAGTGGAAGCGCTCCAGTATTGTATTTATTGTTCTTACAACCTTCAAAAACGAACCACTGCATTGTTTTTGCTTTCTATCCATTAAAATAATTCTTTATAAAATTTCTCATCCTAGTTACCTGTTGTCGGGAATGTTTCTGGGTTTTACACTACTCCTCATTAATATTCATGATCACAGGTCACGGATAGCGAAATGTTGATTTTACGAAGCGAAAAAACTCGCAATGAAATTTGATCGACAAAAAACAACTAAATGTAGTATTTTTCGACAATGCATTTATTCTCTCTTAATGATCAATATTTTGTTCGATACAGAAACTTTCGGTTCGAGATATCTATCGAACATAAAATACCAGTTTTCGATACATTTCGAGTACCGGTACGGAGCCCTATCTTCAAGAGTTAAATTTTTTCGTTTGCTGCTCATATTTCGATAATATGCCTGTATTGTGTATACCAGTGACGTAAATGAAATCAAACTCAGTATAAAATGCATGGTGAATTGTGTTTACGTGCCATCAGCTGTTTTCTTTGTAGGTATGTTCATGTGGCGAGAAAACGTGACTCGCAGTCAAGAAAGCTTGTCAAATGACTTGTGGTCAAAACAGCTGTTTAAACAAGGTTAGGTCGCGAGTTTGGTGATGAAAAGGGTGGCCGCTGGCCGCGTTAGACAGGTGGCCATTAAATTAGGTATTATTAATGAGCAAAAACGATTGGGAGGGTCTGAAAATGGCCGTTATAAGCAGGTGGCCGTCTAACTAAGTCGGCCGTTATGACAGGTTAGACTGTATATATATCCCCTGACTAACAATTTGATAGTGGCTGATAACCAGACATAAAATACTGTGCATGGGAATTTTTTGCCCCTGTTTAAATTTAACCTTTTTTGTGTACAAATTAGAAAAGAAATTTAAGATAAGGGTAAGAATTTGTTACAATTATATAACTCTGTTAAATCATACTCAGTGGGCAAAATGAACATAAGTGAATCTGTTTGTAATGGACAAAAGGGCAAAAATAACCGGAGACAAAAACATCCTTGTATAGGGTAGTGTTTGTAATTCTGCTGGATAATAATAAATACCAGTTGATTTTATACAATGCACAAACTTATTTCTGGATAAATACTACTACTGTTAAATATGGGTGGATTTATACCAGGCACAAGCTTATAGCAGAATAAATACTGTAATAATTCTACTGAACAACATTAAATATGGGTGGACTTTATACCAGGCACAAGCTTATAGCAGAATAAATACTGTAATAATTCTACTGAACAACATTAAATATGGGTGGACTTTATACCAGGCACAAGCTTATAGCAGAATAAATACTGTAATAATTCTACTGAACAACATTAAATATGGGTGGACTTTATACCAGGCACAAGCTTATAGCAGAATAAATACTGTAATAATTCTACTGAACAACATTAAATAGGGGTGGACTTTATACCAGGCATAGGCTTATTGCTGGATAAATACAGTAATTATATTAAAACACTCTATAACATACTATAATATTAGATGTTTATATTTCGTACCTAACAGTGGCCAAAAGAGTGTGTGATCCTAAACACAAATTACTGATCCAGAAGCAACAAGTGGCGGCCATTTTATACTACCCATTTTTGAGGTCAGTTGAGAGCAAGACATTGGATGTTGAATCTTCTGATGAAGCCTTGACAGAAACAGAATCAAGTGGACAATTACGAGGGGGGAGATATCTACTGAAGGAGCATTCTAAAAACAAATCCCCAGAAAAGAGAGAGTTGCCTGACCCGCCACTAGATGATACAATGAAATCTGCAAATCCTGTGACCTTGAGAGATATTGAATCAGATCTTACCAAGTTCATCGTAAATTCAGAACCCAACAAATCAGCATTTGAAAAGATGATGTCAAAAGTTAAGGGTAAGGTCATTTGGCCAGAAGATTTGAAAACAGATTCAATTCAGATAATTTGTTTGATGGATATGATGACAGACAATGCTGCAATGGAAGCCGAGCAATGGTCTGCAGAAATCTACCGAAATGTCAAACAGTTTTTTAGTCGCATGACAACAGAAGATGTCCCAGTTGCGAAACAAGTTTGGCAGTCTGTCTGTTTAGAGTTACAGTCCTTGAACATATCTCACCCTGATGGTGTTGCTGTGATCCTAAACCCTCTTGATCATACAATTGTCATCGCAGGACATAAAAAGTTTGTGAACGATTTGAAAAAGGAGATTGAGAAAATTATTAAGATGGCTGAAGAAAGCTTGAGAGAAGAAACAAAACAGGTCTCCAAATCTGAGGTCTTAAAAATGTTTCAGATACAAATACTATGGAAATTCAAATTCAGAGATGAGATATGCAAACGTTGCCCAAACCTGGAGGTTGAAATTGATGTTGACCGTAGAAAGATCACATTCACTGGTGTTCTGAGTGACGTGGATAAAGGAAGACAGTATATGAGAGAAAAGTTAGAATCCATTCCCAGTGAATCTTTTGCGATATCACGAGGCATGAAGGAATTATTCCATAGAATGCCAGCTAAAACAGAATTTGTAGAACAACTTAAGCAACGCCATCTTGTGGCTGTGTGGGACATTCCTCCTCATCAGGATATTTGTATCATTTTTGCAAAATCCAGCCAAGTTGCCAAAAATACAGTTAGCATATTTACAAAGTTGTTACAAGAGAAGAAGATACCATTGAAAGAAGACTTGGAGAAGATTGTTTCATCAACAAAATGGCAGTCAGCATTGAGACATCTATTCTCAAAGTACCCAGAAAAAATTCAAATTAATGTGGAAAAAAATTGTGTCTATGTGACAGCAGTTAGTGCTGTGTTTGATGAAGTGTGTGACAGTATTGATGCTGAGATCAGAGACTACAAAAACATTCATGACATTCACAAGGAATTTCTTTCAGTCGAGGAAGGAGTTTTTAGCTTCTTAGAAAAACATCGAAGATCCGAGATTGAAACCTGCACACTGGCATTACAGAAAACTTTAAACTTATTTGTAAAAACACGTAACTCCAAGGATAAACCAGGATATGACCTTGAAGGTACAAGAGATGCTATAAAACTGGCCAGAAAAAAACTACAAGATGTTATTGATAAGGTGTCCATGGATACCTATAGAGTTCAGAAAGTTGGGGCTGCAGATTTCTTTCACTCTACTGAAGGACAGGACAAAATACGACAGATAGAATCTGCAACTTCATCTATTATCAGGAAATCATCAGAATACGATAGTGCTGAGAAGGCCAGTAGTCAAAGTTTAATCCCGGTCACCAGAGCCACATGTAACATTGGTCAAGGCAAGCAGTGTCTTGTTCTTGAGGGTGACATGACCAAGCTGAAGGTGGATGTGATGGTTAATGCTGCTAACACAGACTTACAACACGGAGGTGGAATTGCAGGTGCCATCGCAGCAGCAGGTATGATTTTAACCAGAAGATACTGAGAGGTACACTCAAACAGTATGTTAATGATAAGCTCAATGACCTGAAAAATCCACCCTTTCTCTCAGTAGGAGAAAGGAAGGGAAGGGGAACACACACTTTCATTATAACTATTAAACTTCATCAATGGGTCATTAAGAGTGGGTACTTGAATGGACAATTGTTATTATACTCGGACTATGTCACCAGTCATATTCTTTAGCAAAACCTGATAAAATGAGCATTTTCTTCTCTGTGACTTATAAATTGTTTGTATTCTTTAATGTTATCTATCTTTGTTATGTCTTACTGACTTCTCCTGAGTGATAGAAATCAACCTTCAGTCAATTGTTCAGCATGATGTATCTTTTCATGTCAGATGATTGTATATAGGGCAATTATAAAATCCCTGATTACTCTATAGTTCAAATATAAAGTCCCAAGGACACTTCATAGTTCAAATACAAAGTCCCCAGGACACTTCATAGTTCAAATACAAAATCCCCAGGACACTTCATAGTTCAAATACAAAATCCCCAGGACACTTCATAGTTCAAATACAAAATCCCCAGGACACTTCATAGTTCAAATACAAAATCCCCAGGACACTTCATAGTTCAAATACAAAATCCCCAGGACACTTCATAGTTCAAATACAAAATCCCCAGGACACTTCATAGTTCAAATACAAAATCCCCAGGACACTTCATAATTCAAATACAAAATCCCCATGACACTTCATAGTTCAAATACAAAATCCCCAGGACACTTCATAGTTCAAATACAAAGTCCCCAGGACACTTCATAGTTCAAATACAAAATCCCCAGGACACTTCATAGTTCAAATACAAAATCCCCAGGACACTTCACAATTCAAATACAAAATCCCCATGACACTTCATAGTTCAAATACAAAATCCCCAGGACACTTCATAGTTCAAATACAAAGTCCCCAGGACACTCCATAGGTCAATTACAAAGTCCTCTGAACACTTCATAGGTCAAATACAAAATACCGAGGACACTTCATAGTTCAAATACAAAGTCCCCAGGACATTTCATAGTTCAAATACAAAATCCCCAGGACACTTCATAATTCAAATACAAAATCCCCATGACACTTCATAGGTCAAATACAAAGTCCCCAGGACATTTCATAGTTCAAATACAAAATCCCCAGGACACTTCATAATTCAAATACAAAATCCCCATGACACTTCATAGGTCAAATACAAAATACCCAGGACACTTCATAGTTCAAATACAAAATACCCAGGACACTTCTTAGTTCAAATACAAAATCCCCATGACACTTCATAGGTCAAATACAAAATACCCAGGACACTTCATAGTTCAAATACAAAATACCCAGGACACTTCTTAGTTCAAATACAAAGTCCCCAGGATAATTCATAGTTCAAATACAAAATCCACATGACACTTCATAGTTCAAATACAAAGTCCCCAGGATAATTCATAGTTCAAATACAAAATACTCAGGACACTTCATAGGTCAAATACAAAGTCCCCAGGACACTTCGTAGTTCAAATACAAAATCCCCAGGACACTTCATAGGTCAATTACAATGCCTCTGAATGTGATCATAGTTCAAATTCACTTATTTAGTTGAAAAATGAAAAATAAAATGTTCCATGAAGCAGGATAAATATCTTTCCATTTTTCAAGATTTTTTCTTTTAAATGTCAAATGTATTGATATTGATTGTTACAGGTGGTCCTGTGATCCAGAATGAGTGTGACGACTATGTTACCAAACATGGAAAAGTTCCAGACGGAGAAGCCATCTCTTCCAGCTCAGGATCCCTACCCTGTAAGATGGTAGTACATACTGTTGGTCCAATTTGGAAAGATGGCACTCACAATGAAGAAAAGAAACTACAAGAAGCTGTGTATAGAAGCTTGATATTGGCAAAAAATTATAGGTCTGTGGCCTTACCTGCAATCAGTGCTGGAATCTTTGGTTACCCTCTCAACAGAGCTGTGGAAACCATTGTCAGTATGGTAGGGTACTTCTTCAAAAAACATTCAACCACCAAGATCAGAAACGTGTACCTTTCATGACACAGATTATGACACAGGTTCTACTTCTTCAGGTAAACAAGTTAACACCTGTTATGACACAGATTCTACCCCTTCAGGTAAACAAGTTAACACCTGTTATGACACAGATTCTACCCCTTCAGGTAAACAAGTTAACACCTGTTATGACACAGATTCTACCTCTTCAGGTAAACAAGTTAACACCTGTTATGACACAGATTCTACCCCTTCAGGTAAACAAGTTAACACCTGTTATGACACAGATTCTACTTCTTCAGGTAAACAAGTTAACACCTGTTATGACTCAGATTCTACCTCTTCAGGTAAACAAGTTAACACCTGTTATGACACAGATTCTACCTCTTCAGGTAAACAAGTTAACACCTGTTATGACACAGATTCTACCCCTTCAGGTAAACAAGTTAACACCTGTTATGACACAGATTCTACCTCTTCAGGTAAACAAGTTAACACCTGTTATGACACAGATTCTACCTCTTCAGGTAAACAAGTTAACACCTGTTATGACGCAGATTCTACCTCTTCAGGTAAACAAGTTAACACCTGTTATGACACAGATTCTACCTCTTCAGGTAAACAAGTTAACACCTGTTATGACACAGATTCTACTTCTTCAGGTAAACAAGTTAACACCTGTTATGACACAGATTCTACCTCTTCAGGTAAACAAGTTAACACCTGTTATGACACAGATTCTACCTCTTCAGGTAAACAAGTTAACACCTGTTATGACACAGATTCTACCCCTTCAGGTAAACAAGTTAACACCTGTTATGACACAGATTCTACCTTAACACCTTTATGACACAGATTCTAGGTAAACAAGTTAACACCTGTTATGACACAGATTCTACCCCTTCAGGTAAACAAGTTAACACCTGTTATGACACAGATTCTACATCTTCAGGTAAACAAGTTAACACCTGTTATGACACAGATTCTACCCCTTCAGGTAAACAAGTTAACACCTGTTATGACACAGATTCTACCTCTTCAGGTAAACAAGTTAACACCTGTTATGACACAGATTCTACCCCTTCAGGTAAACAAGTTAACACCTGTTATGACACAGATTCTACCCCTTCAGGTAAACAAGTTAACACCTGTTATGACACAGATTCTACCCCTTCAGGTAAACAAGTTAACACCTGTTATGACACAGATTCTACCCCTTCAGGTAAACAAGTTAACACCTGTTATGACACAGATTCTACCCCTTCAGGTAAACAAGTTAACACCTGTTATGACACAGATTCTACCCCTTCAGGTAAACAAGTTAACACCTGTTATGACACAGATTCTACCCCTTCAGGTAAACAAGTTAACACCTGTTATGACACAGATTCTACCTCTTCAGGTAAACAAGTTAACACCTGTTATGACACAGATTCTACCCCTTCAGGTAAACAAGTTAACACTTGTTATGACACAGATTCTACGTCTTCAGGTAAACAAGTTAACACCTGTTATGACACAGATTCTACCCCTTCAGGTAAACAAGTTAACACCTGTTATGACACAGATTCTACCCCTTCAGGTAAACAAGTTAACACCTGTTATGACACAGATTCTACATCTTCAGGTAAACAAGTTAACACCTGTTATGACACAGATTCTACCCCTTCAGGTAAACAAGTTAACACCTGTTATGACACAGATTCTACCCCTTCAGGTAAACAAGTTAACACCTGTTATGACACAGATTCTACCCCTTCAGGTAAACAAGTTAACACCTGTTATGACACAGATTCTACCCCTTCAGGTAAACAAGTTAACACCTGTTATGACACAGATTCTACCCCTTCAGGTAAACAAGTTAACACCTGTTATGACACAGATTCTACCCCTTCAGGTAAACAAGTTAACACCTGTTATGACACAGATTCTACCTCTTCAGGTAAACAAGTTAACACCTGTTATGACACAGATTCTACCCCTTCAGGTAAACAAGTTAACACCTGTTATGACACAGATTCTACCCCTTCAGGTAAACAAGTTAACACCTGTTATGACACAGATTCTACCTCTTCAGGTAAACAAGTTAACACCTGTTATGACACAGATTCTACCCCTTCAGGTAAACAAGTTAACACCTGTTATGACACAGATTCTACCCCTTCAGGTAAACAAGTTAACACCTGTTATGGCACAGATGCTAATTCTTTCTGGTTTTTAAGTTAAAATTTTTGATGATGCAAAGTCTACCTCTGTGGATAATTTTTGTAAAAATAATATATGATTTTACTTAATCTTTTTAGGGGAAACTTCTGATGAAGAAAGTACAGATGAGATGTCTGAAGATGAAGGTTATACTGCACCAAGAACATCATCCAAAAGGAAAATAGCAGTTGAAGTGGTCCGAGGAGAGCTGGCAAAAACAAAGGTGCATGGCCTTATCAATAACTTCACTTGTTATAGTAACTTCATAGTAATATATTGATCATCATTGTTGGCCTTGTAATAAGAACACAGAAGTTTCTCATTGTGGGAAGACATTGTGCCCCCCCCCCAAAAAAAAAAAAAAAAAACATTTGTCAGGCAAGTGACACTCTGATTAGAATAGGGAGCCAAGAGCTCCTTGATGATTCCAACCCTTTTCTTATCTTATAAGAGAAAGAAACATTAACCCTTTGGTGACCCAAGACCCTTTAACGTTTGATTGTGAAAGGGAGCCCTGATCTCCTTTGTGACACCAGGTTATGTAACCTTTGATTGTGGAAGGAAGCCCTGATCTCCTAGGTGACACCAGGTTATGTAACCTTTGATTGTGGAAGGAAGCCCTGATCTCCTAGGTGACACCAGGTCATGTTACCTTTGATTGTGGAAGGAAGCCCTGATCTCCTAGGTGACACCAGGTTATGTAACCTTTGATTGTGGAAGGAAGCCCTGATCTCCTAGGTGACACCAGGTCATGTTACCTTTGATCGTTGAAGGGAAGCCCTGATCTCCTTTGTGATTCCAGACCAAGTAACCTTTGATTGTGGAAGGGAAGCCCTGATCTCCTAGGTGACACCAGGTCATGTTACCTTTGATTGTGGAAGGAAGCCCTGATCTCCTAGGTGAGACCGGACCATGTTACTTTTGATTGTTGAAGGGAAGCCCTGATCTCCTAGGTGAGACCGGACCATGTAACCTTTGATTGTGGAAGGAAGCCCTGATCTCCTAGGTGACACCAGGTCATGTTACCTTTGATTGTTGAAGGGAAGCCCTGATCTCCTTTGTGAGACCGGACCATGTTACCTTTGATTGTGGAAGGGAAGCCCTGATTTCCTTTGTGACACCAGGTCATGTAACCTTTGATTGTTGAAGGGAAGCCCTGATCTCCTAGGTGAGACCGGACCATGTTACCTTTGATTGTGGAAGGGAAGCCCTGATCTCCTAGGTGACACCAGGTCATGTAACCTTTGATTGTGGAAGGGATCCCTGATCTTCTTTGTGACACCGGACCATGTTACCTTTGATTGTGGAAGGGAAGCCTGATCTCCTAGGTGACACCAGACCATGTTACCTTTGATTGTGGAAGGGAAGCCTGATCTCCTAGGTGACACCAGACCATGTAACCTTTGATTGTGGAAGGGAAGCCCTGATCTCCTTTGTGAGACTGGACCATGTTACCTTTGATCGTTGAAGGGAAGCCCTGATCTCCTTTGTGATTCCAGACCAAGTAACCTTTGATTGTGGAAGGGAAGCCCTGATCTCCTTTGTGACACCAGGTCATGTAACCTTTGATTGTGGAAGGGAAGCCCTGATCTCCTAGGTGACACCAGGTCATGTTACCTTTGATTGTGGAAGGAAGCCCTGATCTCCTAGGTGAGACCGGACCATGTTACTTTTGATTGTTGAAGGGAAGCCCTGATCTCCTAGGTGAGACCGGACCATGTAACCTTTGATTGTGGAAGGAAGCCCTGATCTCCTAGGAGACACCAGGTCATGTTACCTTTGATTGTTGAAGGGAAGCCCTGATCTCCTTTGTGAGACCGGACCATGTAACCTTTGATTGTGGAAGGGAAGCCCTGATTTTCTTTGTGACACCAGGTCATGTAACCTTTGATTGTGGAAGGGAAGCCCTGATCTCCTAGGTGAGACCAGACCATGTTACCTTTGATTGTGGAAGGGAAGCCCTGATCTCCTAGGTGACACCAGGTCATGTAACCTTTGATTGTGGAAGGGAAGCCCTGATCTCCTTTTTGAGACCGGACCATGTTACCTTTGATTGTTGAAGGGAAGCCCTGATCTCCTAGGTGACACCAGACCATGTTACCTTTGATTGTGGAAGGGAAGCCCTGATCTCCTTTGTGATTCCAGACCATGTTACCTTTGATTGTGGAAGGGAAGCCCTGATCTCCTTTGTGAGACCGGACCATGTTACCTTTGATTGTTGAAGGGAAGCCCTGATCTCCTAGGTGACACCAGACCATGTTACCTTTGATTGTGGAAGGGAGCCCTGATCTCCTTTGTGACACCGGACCATGTTACCTTTGATTGTGGAAGGGAAGCCCTGATCTCCTTTGTGAGACCGGACCATGTTACCTTTGATTGTTGAAGGGAAGCCCTGATCTCCTAGGTGACACCAGACCATGTTACCTTTGATTGTTGAAGGGAAGCCCTGATCTCCTAGGTGACACCGGACCATGTAACCTTTGATTGTGGAAGGGAAGCCCTGATCTCCTTTGTGACACCAGGTCATGTAACCTTTGATTGTGGAAGGGAAGCCCTGATCTCCTAGGTGACACCAGGTCATGTTACCTTTGATTGTGGAAGGAAGCCCTGATCTCCTAGGTGAGACCGGACCATGTTACCTTTGATTGTTGAAGGGAAGCCCTGATGTCCTAGGTGAGACCAGACCATGAAACCTTTGATTGTGGAAGGGAAGCCCTGATCTCCTAAGTGACACCAGGTCATGTAACCTTTGATTGTGGAAGGGAGCCCTGATTTCCTTTGTGACACCAGGTCATGTAACCTTTGATTGTGGAAGGGAAGCCCTGATCTCCTAGGTGAGACCGGACCATGTTACCTTTGATTGTGGAAGGGAAGCCCTGATCTCCTAGGTGACATCAGGTCATGTAACATTTGATTGTGGAAGGGAGCCCTGATCTCCTTTGTGAGACCGGACCATGTTACCTTTGATTGTTGAAGGGAAGCCCTGATCACCTGTGTGACACCAGACCTTTTAACCTTTGATTGTGGAAGGGAAGCCCTGATCTCCTGTGTGACACCAGACCTTTACATATCTGATGTTGAGAGGGAACTGTGAAGGTGAAAGGCAAATGTGTTATTACTTAGATCAACTGACCACCGAATGATCAGGAATCACATTATTGCCTATTACAGTATTTCTTTTGTATTAGTTTGATTTTTCTTACACATGAAACCCTTCATTCCAGAAAAGATCAGAAAAATTTGTCACATCAAAATATGATATTCAATGCAGGCCAACAAACAGTACCTTTTAAGTCTGAACTGTAAATGGGATAAAATCAGTAAATGTTTTAACTTTTCAGGCAGATGTATTGGTCAACTCCACTGGTAGGGACCTAATGCTGAATGTTGGGATGCTGTCAAAGTCCCTGTTAGAGTATGGGGGTCTAACCATCCAAAAAGAATGCACAAAGAAATACACAAATGGAATATTACCAGGCGATGTTGCTATTACAACTGGTGGCAATCTTGCATGTCGATATGTGTATCATGGAACATTTGATAGCTGGGGTAAAGACCAGAGAGGATGTGAACAGGTAAGTGTCAAGGTAGGCGGGTACGGAGATGTGTATAGGTAAGTGTGAGGGTAGACGGGTATGGAGATGTGTATAGGTACGTGTGAGGGTAGAGGGGTATGGAGATGTGTATAGGCAAGTGTGAGGGTAGAGGGGTATGGAGATGTGTATAGGTAAGTGTGAGGATAGACCAGTATGGAGATGTGTATAGGTAAGTGTGAGGGTAGACGGGTATGGAGATGTGTATAGGTAAGTGTGAGGGTAGACGGGTATGGAGATGTGTATAGGTACGTGTGAGGGTAGACGGGTATGGAGATGTGTATAGGTAAGTGTGAGGGTAGACGGGTATGGAGATGTGTATAGGTAAGTGTGAGGGTAGACCAGTATGGAGATGTGTATAGGTAAGTGTGAGGGTAGACGGGTATGGAGATGTGTATAGGTAAGTGTGAGAGTAGACCAGTATGGAGATGTGTATAGGTAAGTGTGAGAGTAGACCAGTATGGAGATGTGTATAGGTAAGTGTGAGGGTAGACGGGTATGGAGATGTGTATAGGTAAGTGTGAGGGTAGGGTAGACGGGTATGGAGATGTGTATAGGTAAGTGTGAGGGTAGACGGGTATGGAGATGTGTATAGGTAAGTGTGAGGGTAGACGGGTATGGAGATGTGTATAGGTAAGTGTGAGGGTAGAGGGGTATGGAGATGTGTATAGGTAAGTGTGAGGGTAGACGGGTATGGAGATGTGTATAGGTAAGTGTGAGGGTAGACGGGTATGGAGATGTGTATAGGTAAGTGTGAGGGTAGAGATGTATAGGTAAGTGTGAGGGTAGACGGGGAGATGTGTATAGGTAAGTGTGAGGGTAGACCAGTATGGAGATGTGTATAGGTAAGTGTGAGAGTAGTATGGAGATGTGTGTAGGTAAGTGTGAGGGTAGACGGTATGGAGATGTGTATAGGTAAGTGTGAGGGTAGACGGGTATGGAGATGTGTGTAGGTAAGTGTGAGGGTAGACGGGTATGGAGATGTGTATAGGTAAGTGTGAGGGTAGACCAGTATGGAGATGTGTATAGGTAAGTGTGAGGGTAGAGGGGTATGCAGATGTGTATAGGTAAGTGTGAGGGTAGACGGGTATGGAGATGTGTATAGGTAAGTGTGAGAGTAGACAGGTATGGAGATGTGTATAGGTAAGTGTGAGGGTAGACGGGTATGGAGATGTGTATAGGTAAGTGTGAGGGTAGACCAGTATGGAGATGTGTGTAGGTAAGTGTGAGGATAGACGGGTATGGAGATGTGTATAGGTAAGTGTGAGGGTAGATGGGTATGGAGATGTGTATAGGTAAGTGTGAGAGTAGACGGGTATGGAGATGTGTATAGGTAAGTGTGAGGGTAGAGGGGTATGGAGATGTGTATAGGTAAGTGTGAGGGTAGACGGGTATGGAGATGTGTATATGTAAGTGTGAGGTGTAGAAGTGTGTATGGAGATGTGTATAGGTAAGTGTGAGGGTAGACGGGTATGGAGATGTGTATAGGTAAGTGTGAGGGTAGACGGGTATGGAGATGTGTATAGGTAAGTGTGAGGGTAGACGGGTATGGAGATGTGTATGAGGTAAGTGTGTAGGTAAGTGTGAGGGTAGACGGGTATGGAGATGTGTATATGTAAGTGTGAGGGTAGACGGGTATGGAGATGTGTATAGGTAAGTGTGAGGGTAGACGGGTATGGAGATGTGTATAGGTAAGTGTGAGGGTAGACTGGTATGGAGATGTGTATAGGTAAGTGTGAGGGTAGACGGGTATGGAGATGTGTATAGGTAAGTGTGAGGGTAGACGGGTATGGAGATGTGTATAGGTAAGTGTGAGGGTAGACGGGTATGGAGATGTGTATAGGTAAGTGTGAGGGTAGACGGGTATGGAGATGTGTATAGGTAAGTGTGAGGGTAGACCAGTATGGAGATGTGTGTAGGTAAGTGTGAGGGTAGACGGGTATGGAGATGTGTATAGGTAAGTGTGAGGGTAGACGGGTATGGAGATGTGTGTAGGTAAGTGTGAGAGTAGACGGGTATGGAGATATGTATAGGTAAGGTAAGGGGAATAATCAATAGTGTTAATTATAGTTAAAAAATATGACGATATTTAAGATATGATTTAGATGCAGATTATATCATTAATTAACTTTGAATTTGGAAACATTTAATAATTCTTTATGAATGCTGTTATTTGTTTTAGACTCTTGAAAAATTTATAAAAGTCTGCCTTCAAGAGGCAGACAGGAACAGAATGACCTCTATAGCATTCCCTGCTCTTGGTACGGGTCGTCTTGGTTACCCTCCTGCCAACGTAGCTAACATCATGTTGCAGTGTGTGAGAGGATTTGAAAGGGAAATTCCAAATACTTACCTGCAAAGTGTGATGTTTGTAGTGTATCCACAGGATAGACAATCTGTACAGGTAGGTTATCACTATGCAGAGGGGGATAGAAAAAAAGGATTAGAGGGTAGGTCATTACCATGTAGAGGGGGAGAGGGTAGGTCATTACCATGTAGAGGGGGAGAGGGTAGGTCATAACCATGCAGAGGGGGATAGAAAAAGAACGAAGGGGATAGAGAAAGGGTACCAACTGGACAGGTAGGTAACTTAAAGGGTAGAGGGTAGGTCATTACAATGTCGAGGGGGAGAGGGTAGCTCATTACAATGTTGAGGGGAGAGAGTAAGTCATTACCATGTAGAGGATGAGAGGGTAGGTAATTACAATGTCGAGGGGGAGAGGGTAGCTCATTACAATGTCAAGGGGGAGAGGATAGGTCATTACAATGTCGTGGTGGTTAAGGGGTAGGTCATTACAATGTGGTGGTGGTGAAGGGGTAGGTCATTACAATGTCATGGTGGTGAAGGGGTAGGTCATTACAATGTCGTGGTGGTGAAGGGGTAGGTCATTACAATGTCGTGGTGGTTAAGGGGTAGGTCATTACAATGTTGAGTGAGAGTGGGTAGGTTATTACCATGTAGAGGTGAAGAGGGTAGGTCATTACCATGTAGAGGGGGAGAGGGTAGGTCATTACCATGCAGAGGGGGAGTGGGTAGGTCATTACCATGTAGAGGGGGAGAGGGTAGGTCATAACCATGCAGAGGGAGATAGAAAAAGAACGAAGGGGATAGAGAAACGGTACCAACTGGACAGGTAGGTAACTTAAAGGGTAGAGGGTAGGTCATTACAATGTCGAGGGGGAGAGGGTAGCTCATTACAATGTTGAGGGGAGAGAGTAAGTCATTACCATGTAGAGGATGAGAGGGTAGGTAATTACAATGTCGAGGGGGAGAGGGTAGCTCATTACAATGTCAAGGGGGAGAGGGTAGGTCATTACAATGTCGTGGTGGTTAAGGGGTAGGTCATTACAATGTGGTGGTGGTGAAGGGGTAGGTCATTACAATGTCGTGGTGGTGAAGGGGTAGGTCATTACAATGTCGTGGTGGTGAAGGGGTAGGTCATTACAATGTCGTGGTGGTTAAGGGGTAGGTCATTACAATGTTGAGTGAGAGTGGGTAGGTTATTACCATGTAGAGGTGAAGAGGGTAGGTCATTACCATGTAGAGGGGGAGTGGGTAGGTCATTACCATATAGAGGATGAGAGGGTAGGTCATGACCATGTAGAGGATGAGAGGGTAGGTAATTACAATGTCGAGGGGGAGAGGGTAGCTCATTACAATGTCAAGGGGGAGAGGGTAGGTCATTACAATGTCGTGGTGGTTAAGGGGTAGGTCATTACAATGTCGTGGTGGTGAAGGGGTAGGTCATTACAATGTCGTGGTGGTTAAGGGGTAGGTCATTACAATGTTGAGTGAGAGTGGGTAGGTTATTACCATGTAGAGGTGAAGAGGGTAGGTCATTACCATGTAGAGGGGGAGTGGGTATGTCATTACCATGTAGAGGATGAGAGGGTAGGTCATTACAATGTCGTGGGGGAGAGGGTAGCTCATTACAATGTCAAGGGGGAGAGGGTAGATCATTACAATGTCGTAGGGGAGAGGGTAGATCATTACAATGTCGTGGGGGAGAGGGTAGGTCATTACAATGTCGTGGGGGAGAGGGTAGATCATTACAATGTCCAGGGGGAGAGAGTAGGTCATTACCATGTAGAGGGGGAGTAGATAGGTCATGACCATGTAGAGGGGGAGAGGGTAGGTCATAAACATGTAGAGGATGAGAGGGTAGGTAATTACAATGTCGAGGGGGAGTGGGTAGGTCATTACCATGTAGAGGGTGAGAGGGTAGGTCATTACCATGTAGAGGGGGAGAGGGTAGGTCAATACAATGTCGAGGGGGAGAGGTCAGGTCATTACAATGTCATGGTGGTTAGGGGGTAGGTCATTACAATGTCGAGGGGGAGAGGGTAGCTCATTACAATGTCAAGGGGGAGAGGGTAGGTCATTACAATGTCGTGTTGGTTAAGGGGTAGGTCATTACAATGTCGTGGTGGTGAAGGGGTAGGTCATTACAATGTCGTGGTGGTTAAGGGGTAGGTCATTACAATGTTGAGTGAGAGTGGGTAGGTTATTACCATGTAGAGGTGAAGAGGGTAGGTCATTACCATGTAGAGGGGGAGTGGGTAGGTCATTACCATGTAGAGGATGAGAGGGTAGGTCATGACCATGTAGAGGATGAGAGGGTAGGTAATTACAATGTCGAGGGGGAGAGGGTAGCTCATTACAATGTCAAGGGGGAGAGGGTAGGTCATTACAATGTCGTGGTGGTTAAGGGGTAGGTCATTACAATGTCGTGGTGGTGAAGGGGTAGGTCATTACAATGTCGTGGTGGTTAAGGGGTAGGTCATTACAATGTTGAGTGAGAGTGGGTAGGTTATTACCATGTAGAGGTGAAGAGGGTAGGTCATTACCATGTAGAGGGGGAGTGGGTAGGTCATTACCATGTAGAGGATGAGAGGGTAGGTCATTACAATGTCGTGGGGGAGAGGGTAGCTCATTACAATGTCAAGGGGGAGAGGGTAGATCATTACAATGTCGTAGGGGAGAGGGTAGATCATTACAATGTCGTGGGGGAGAGGGTAGGTCATTACAATGTCGTGGGGGAGAGGGTAGATCATTACAATGTCCAGGGGGAGAGAGTAGGTCATTACCATGTAGAGGGGGAGTAGATAGGTCATGACCATGTAGAGGGGGAGAGGGTAGGTCATAAACATGTAGAGGATGAGAGGGTAGGTAATTACAATGTCGAGGGGGAGTGGGTAGGTCATTACCATGTAGAGGGGGAGAGGGTAGGTCATTACCATGTAGAGGGGGAGAGGGTAGGTCAATACAATGTCGAGGGGGAGAGGTCAGGTCATTACAATGTCATGGTGGTTAGGGGGTAGGTCATTACAATGTCGAGGGGGAGAGGGTAGCTCATTACAATGTCAAGGGGGAGAGGGTAGGTCATTACAATGTCGTGTTGGTTAAGGGGTAGGTCATTACAATGTCGTGGTGGTGAAGGGGTAGGTCATTACAATGTTGAGGGGGAGAGGGTAGGTCATGACTATGTAGAGGATGAGAGGATAGGTCATGACCATGTAGAGGGGGTGAGGGTAGGTCATTACCATGTTGAGTGAGAGTGGGTAGGTTATTACCATGTAGAGGTGAAGAGGGTAGGTCATTACCATGTAGAGGGGGAGTGGGTAGGTCATTACCATGTAGAGCATGAGAGGGTAGGTCATTACAATGTCGTGGGGGAGAGGGTAGCTCATTACAATGTCAAGGGGGAGAGGGTAGATCATTACAATGTCGTGGGGGAGAGGGTAGATCATTACAATGTCGTGGTGGTGAGGGGGTAGGTCATTACAATGTCGTGGGGGAGAGGGTAGGTCATTACAATGTCCAGGGGGAGAGAGGTACCAACTATACAGGTAGGTCATTACCATGTAGAGGGGGAGTAGATAGGTCATGACCATGTAGAGGGGGAGAGGGTAGGTCATAAACATGTAGAGGATGAGAGGGTAGGTAATTACAATGTCGAGGGGGATTGGGTAGGTCATTACCATGTAGAGGGGGAGAGGGTAGGTCATTACCATGTAGAGGGGGAGAGGGTAGGTCAATACAATGTCGAGGGGGAGAGGTTAGGTCATTACAATGTCATGGTGGTGAGGGGGTAGGTCATTACAATGTTGAGGGGGAGAGGGTAGCTCATTACAATGTAGAGGATGAGAGGTTAGGTAATTACAATGTCGATGGGGAGAGGGTAGGTCATTACCATGTAGAGGATGAGAGGGTAGATCATTACAATGTCGTGGTGGTGAGGGGGTAGGTCATTACAATGTCGTGGGGGAGAGGGTAGGTCATTACAATGTAGAGGGGGAGGGGATGGTGACAGGTACCAACTATACAGGTAGGTCATTATCATGTAGAGGGGGAGGGGATGGTGACAGGTACCAACTATACAGGTAGGTCATTATCATGTAGAGGGGGAGGGGATGGTGACAGGTACCAACTATACAGGTAGGTCATTATCATGTAGAGGGGGAGGGGATGGTGACAGGTACCAACTATACAGGTAGGTCATTATCATGTAGAGGGGGAGGGGATGGTGGTCATTATCATGGTACCAACTATACAGGTAGGTCATTATCATGTAGAGGGGGAGGGGATGGTGACAGGTACCAACTATACAGGTAGGTCATTATTATGTAGAGGGGGATGGGGAGGGGATGGTGGCAGGTACCAACTATACAGGTAGGTCATTATCATGTAGAGGGGGAGGGGATGGTGACAGGTACCAACTATACAGGTAGGTCATTATCATGTAGAGGGGGAAGGGGATGGTGGCAGGTACCAACTATACAGGTAGGTCATTATCATGTAGAGGGGGAGGGGATGGTGGCAGGTACCAACTATACAGGTAGGTCATTATCATGTAGAGGGGGAGGGGATGGTGGCAGGTACCAACTATACAGGTAGGTCATTATCATGTAGAGGGGGATGGGGAGGGGATGGTGACAGGTACCAGCTATACAGGTAGGTCATTATCATGTAGAGGGGGAGGGGGGTGGTGACAGGTACCAACTATACAGGTAGGTCATTATCGTGTAGAGGGGGAGGGGATGGTGACAGGTAACAACTATACAGGTAGGTCATTATCATGTAGAGGGGGAGGGGATGGTGGCAGGTACCAACTATACAGGTAGGTCATTATCATGTAGAGGGGAAGGGGATGGTGGCAGGTACCAACTATACAGGTAGGTCATTATCATGTAGAGGGGGATGGGGAGGGGATGGTGGCAGGTACCAACTATACAGGTAGGTCATTATCATGTAGAGGGGGATGGGGAGGGGATGGTGGCAGGTACCAACTATACAGGTAGGTCATTATCATGTAGAGGGGGATGGGGAGGGGATGGTGACAGGTACCAACTATACAGGTAGGTCATTATCATGCAGTTAGTTTAACAACATTTGATTTTGTTAAATTAATTATCTCAATATTTTGTTGAACATTAATTCAATGGCTTTAAAGAGAAAGAAAAAAAAACTATTACCATCATGGTGATTTTTTTTATGTTTCCAGGATTTTGAATCTGTTGTTGATGAAGACAAATTTAGATCAGGAGGTAAGTATCATATGTAATGAGATGTGATGGTAGAGTTACTAGGTACAGAGACTTTGTTTGTATTACTAACTCATTTGATTCAATAGATCTGTGAGGAACTAGGTTTAAGTATATTTACAGAGGGTCTGACTCCCTCGGGAGCACTGGGGGCAGGGCCAAATAGGGAAAGTAGTGGTAATTTTTCATAATTTATTTCGAGTTGAGATTTTGACGTAATCTGATCTGCAGCCTCCATGGTTGATCCATTCTCTAGTAAATTCATTTTGGTATTACTTTGAACCTGGGCCTGGCCTGTCCCTACACTTTGAATGATAGGCATAATGAATTGGCCTAGTCTGTCCCCAGACTTTGAATTAATAGTAATAATTTGTTGGCTTGGCCTGTTCCCAGACTATGAAAAATAGATATAATGTATTGGCCTGGCCTGTCCCCAGACTTTAAGTAATAGGTATAATGTGTTGGTCCCAGCTTGCTGAAAAATATATACCTTGAAAATACAATAATTGAAGGCTTTTTGCGATTTGAAAAACTTGTCATTTTGCTTCCAACATTTTGTTAGATCAAACAATTGATGTTGTCAAAAAGCAGTATATTATACATTGCATGTTTTGTGTATTTTTGTTGTTTTATAGGAACTGCTGGTTCCAATAGATCCAGTTACTATAGAACAAGGCCACAGCAATTAGGACAAGTCAATATAGAGCTCAAACAAGGGGACATCACAATGGAGATGACCTCTGCTATTGTCAACAGTACTGACGACCAATTAGATCTCAGGAAAGGTAGTAGAAAACCTATTACTCTCTCAAAGTATGCTTTGTCTTTCTCATTAGGAGAAAAAATGTCATATTAGCATTTCAAGTTCATCTTGACATTGAAATTTCAAATAGTTGTCAGACTAAAAGTATGATTATAACATGTATCAAGTTTATTTCTTAAAGAAACCAGGGAGGTTTAACAGGATCAGCGTTTAAGTCATTATATTAACAGGCTTTATTGGGGGAGTGGTTTCACTCGGGGAGTGTTGAAGTCATTACCATAACAGGTTTCACTCGGGAAGTGTTGAAGTCATTACCATAACAGGTTTCACTCGGGGAAGGTTGAAGTCATTACCATAACAGGTTTCACTCGGGGAGTGTTGAAGTCATTACCATAACAGGTTTCACTCGGGGAAGGTTGAAGTCATTACATTAACAGGTTTCACTCGGGGAAGGTTGAAGTTACACATTAACAGGTTTTACAGGGTTGATATTTTACTTTAAAAGGAGGAGTGTTCATAAAAGGAGGAGTGTTCAAGCCTTTAAAGCAACATTTTTTTGTGTCTATGTAAATGTAGCTAATCATAAAATCTAATCATGATTTGTTTTGTCATTTGTTGATTGAATTGATGAATATCCTTTGTAGGTGCTGTATCTAAAGCCATTCTGAAGGCGGGAGGGCCAAAACTACAAGTAGAGTGTAACGCTCAACGTAAGTTACCTACATATTCATTGTCAACAGATAACAGATATTCTGTCTCTCTTTATGCTCTGATCATATATGGGAGAGGGTATGTGGTGTTACCCATGTCCAAACTTCCAATCTGATGTCATAATTCTAGTAAGGAAACTTCAATCAATTGTTATGTAAATGTCAAAGGACCTGTAACAAGTTCTTATTTCTGGGTTCAAAGGTCAAGTTCAGTTGTTTTTCATAGAAATTTGTCAAAGTTAAGCACAGGAGCATACAAACTGTTTATGATATGCTATGTACAACCAGGTTATACAAATGATGTATACAATTTATCATAACATAAATATGTCTTCAATAAGATCAATAGATTTAATGTAAGCTTATTCCCCATTCCTATCTTTTAAATTGTGGTTTACTTATGATATTTCTCATCATTTATTATTAATAGGTATGGCTATGATGTCTCAAGGTTTGGTGGTGACCTCTGGTGGTAATATGTTATGTCGGTACATTCTCCATGTCAGAACATGCTCTCGTCCAAAGGACCTAGCACAAGCTGTGGGCAGATGTCTGAAAGAGGCTGATCGCCTCAGATGTGACACCCTCACCTTCCCCGCCCTTGGCACAGGTACAGTAACAACTGCCTGAGAGACTGACCACCTCAGGTGTAACATACTCACCTTCCCTGCCCTTGTCACAGGTAGAGTAACAACTGTCTGAGAGACTGACCACCTCAGGTGTAACATACTCACCTTCCCTGCCCTTGTCACAGGTACAGTAAGAACTGTCTGAGAGACTGACCGCCTCAGTGTCACAGGTACAGTAAGAACTGTCTGAGAGAGACTGACCACCTCAGATGTGACACCCTCACCTTCCCCGCCCTTGTCACAGATATAGTAAGAACTGTCTGACAGAGACTGACCACCTCAGGTGTGACACCCTCACCTTGGCATATGTACATTAACAACTGTCTGACCACCTCCAGTCATCTGAAGCATTGATCTGTCTGGGTTGGGATTTCCTTTGTAATGTCCTGCTATCTGTACTTTTAGGTCCTAAGTGACCTATTGCGATCGCCTTTTGTGTGGCATAGTGCTTCGTAAACAATTGACATTTCCAACTTCTTCTTAATAACCAAAATGCCAAGTGTGCTGATATTGGGCCAGTAGCATGCTGGGATGAATTTGTTCAAGTAAATGACCTTGACCTACTTTCAAGTTCACAGGGGTCATATGTGTTAAAATCTTTTCACAAATTCGGATGAATAACCAATCATTCATGGTCATGATATTGGGTCAATAAAATGCTTTGATGAAGGGCTATCATGTTTGTTCAAATTAATGATCTTGACCTTCTGCCACAATGCTGGGACTGATGGACAAAGACCTGAAGACATCAGGTGACTGTTGACCTTGTATTGGCTTGGATGACTGTTGTGATGTTCAGTCATCTGTATCATTGACCTCTGTCAGGGTTAGAACGACTTCAGTAATGTCCAGTTATCTGTATCATTGATATCTGTCAGCGTTAAGATGACCTGTGTGATGTCCACATATTAGCTCACCTGGCCTGAACGGCCAAGTGAGCTACTGATATACTAGGGTGTCTGTCATTCATCCCTCCATTGTCTGTATGTCCGTCAACTTTCTCTAGAAATTGCTGGTGGTCATAAACGATTGAGCAGGTATTGACCAAATTTTGTCAGATGCATCCATGAGGGGATTGGGAACATATTTGTTTAAATTGTGAGTCTAGGCCCCTGGGGTGGAAAAGGTGGGGCCTAATAGGGAAAATTGAGCAAATTCTTTGAAATCCTACTCCTCTTGTAGGAATGATTGGGTTTTGTCCAAAATTGGTCTGAAGCATTGTTGGAGGACGGGGAATGAATTTTGTATAAATGGTGGTGCCCCCTGGGGCAGGAAGGGTTGGGGGGAATTTTGCAAAGTCTTTAAAATCCTACTCCTCCTGTAGGATGATTGGATTTTACCCAAATTTGGTGTGAAGTGTTCTTAAGTGAAGGAGAACCAGTTCTGTATAAATGTTTCATTCTGACCATTTGGGACAGGAGGATTGGGGCCAAATAGGGGAAGTGAAAGTTCCTTCTTCCGTACAAGATTGGTCTGAAACAATTTTATTAATAGTGAAGCTGACTTCTGTTTGGCCACAAGGCTGCGACCCAATAGGGAAATTATTTTGGAAATTATTGATCATATTTAAAATTCTTTATTAAATGGCTGAATAATTAGCCACAATGCTAGTCCTTTGGGCCCATTGTTTTATGTTTTTTTGCTGAAGTTGTTTGTGGTTACAGGTCAGATAGGCTGTCCACCAAAGGATGTAGCAGACACCATGTTTACTACCATACAACAGTTTACTGACCAGCTCCGTTACTTGAAGAAGGTCAGCATTGTCATTTACCAAGCAGACATGGTAGACACATTCAAAGCTCAACTCAATCGTCAACTAGGAGGAGCCGACTCTCAGACAAAAGGTGCTGTTGGTAAAGGATTTAATCTGGATTTAATGCTACATTTAATTGGATAAAGATTTGTGAAAACTTATCTTCATTCCATGCCCACAACTTTCTTTTTTTTAGCACATGAAACCTAGATGACAGTTTTCTCATTTAATTTGATTGCTGGGTATATTACCTTGTCAACAGCCCATGTCATATGGAGGTGGGGCTTCCTTGTATTACAACAGGAGGCCCATTGCATGCCATCCAAAATAACATGGATGAAGTGTCTCGCTTCTGTATAGACTGGTCTTTTTCTAAGTTTCCTGGGAAATGCAAGCCCCCAGAAGAGAGCATCAAACCACCCACACACCTGAGTTGACCCCCATATTTGATAAAAATGACATCATCAGTTAGAGTATAATATGGACAGATGGAAATTTGGCCTCACTTTGAATTTTACTGACTTCAATGATACAAATACTACTCAAAAGCCACTAACAGCTGTCCCTTTTTTTGTTGAAAATGTTTTGTATTATGTTTATGTGCAATGGTACAAATTAATCACCTATTTAAATTCCTCTGCAATATGTCACTAGCAAAAACTCAATGTATCACCAGTAAAAACTCATTATATCACCAGCAAAACCTCAATATATCACCAGCAAAAAATCAATGTGTCACCAGCAAATACTAAATGTGTCACCAGCAAAAAACTCAATATATCACCAGCAAAAACTCAATGTGTCACCAGCACAAACTCTGTGTCACCAGTAAAAACTCAATGTGTCACCAGTAAAAACTAAATGTGTCACCAGTTCAAACTCTGTGTCACCAGTAAAAACTAAATGTGTCACCAGTAAAAACTCAATGTGTCACCAGCAAAAACTCTGTGTCACCAGTAAAAACTCTGTGTCACCAGTAAAAACTAAATGTGTCACCAGCAAAAACTCAATGTGTCACCAGCAAAAACTCAATGTGTCACCAGCACAAACTCAATGTGTCACCAGCAAATACTAAATGTGTCACCTGTAAAAACTCAATGTGTCACCAGCACAAACTCTGTGTCACCAGCAAAAACTCAATGTGTCACCAGCACAAACTCTGTGTCACCAGCAAAAACTCAATGTGTCACCAGCAAAAAAAATCAATGTGTCACCAGCAAAAATTCAATGTGTCACCAGCAAAAATTCAATGTGTCACCAGTACAAATTCAATGTATCACCAGCACAAACTCAATGTGTCACCAGCACAAACTCTGTGTCACCAGTAAAAATTCAATGTGTCACCAGCACAAACTCTGTGTCACCAGTAAAAATTCAATGTGTCACCAGCACAAACTCTGTGTCACCAGCAAAAACTCAATATATCACCAGCAAAAACTCAATGTGTCACCAGCACAAACTTTGTGTCACCAGTAAAAACTCAATGTGTCATCAGTAAAAACTAAATGTGTCACCAGTTCAAACTCTGTGTCACCAGTAAAAACTAAATGTGCCACAAGCACAAACTCTGTGTCACCAGTAAAAACTAAATGTGTCACCAGCAAAAACTCAATGTGTCACCAGCACAAACTCTGTGTCACCAGCAAAAACTCAATGTGTCACCAGCAAAAATTCAATGTGTCACCAGCAAAAATTCAATGTGTCACCAGTACAAATTCAATGTATCACCAGCACAAACTCAATGTGTCACCAGCACAAACTTTGTGTCACCAGTAAAAACTCAATGTGTCATCAGTAAAAACTAAATGTGTCACCAGTTCAAACTCTGTGTCACCAGTAAAAACTAAATGTGTCACCAGTAAAAACTAAATGTGTCACCAGCAAAAACTCAATGTGTCACCAGCACAAACTCTGTGTTACCAGCAAAAACTCAATGTGTTACCAGCAAAAACTCAATGTGTCACCAGCAAAAAACTCAATGTGTCACCAGCAAAAAAAATCAATGTGTCACCAGTACAAACTCTATGTCACCAGTAAAAACTCAATATGTCACCAGCACAAACTCTGTGTCACCAGTCAAAACTCAATGTGTCACCAGCAAAAAACTCAATGTGTCACCAGCAAAAAAAATCAATGTGTCACCAGTACAAACTCTATGTCACCAGCAAAAACTCAATATGTCACCAGCACAAACTCTGTGTCACCAGTAAAAACTCAATGTGTCACCAGCACAAACTCTGTGTCACCAGTCAAAACTCAATGTGTCACCAGCACAAACTCAATTTGTTACATTTTTGTATAGTAGTGGAATGTTACCTTTCCATTGTCATTGGTTTCTGATTTAAAAACTGGGAATTATTGGCAGATTGTATTTCAACTTTAGTCTGATAGTCTCTCCAATGAAAAGACCTGATAAAAACAACTGATCATCTATCAGACAATAACAATTTGTAGATGAAGGTTCTCATTTTTGCCGCTTTTTTCCATAATCAGGGAGGCCAAGTTTAAGATGGTGCAGAAAATTTGTTATGTTTATATAACCTATCCTCAGAGTGTAAAATGGTCATGAGGTGTACACAACCTCTCCACATCATTGATTTCTGGGAGAGATATGTCACCTTATGACAGCAAGACTATAATCTATGGTATTTATGGTAGATCAATTTTAACAAAAACCCTATATTATTAGTTTTGTACCACTGACTTAATTCACTGATGGTCTCAGGAATGTGAACAATTTGAAAAGAAAAAGTCATCTTTTCGAGACTTTCTTTTAACAACTCATAAACCATAATGTAAAGTTATTACAGTGATCTGAGATATGGTTTGCAATACTGTATTATTGACAAGAAAAATGAGTTATTCTTTATCAATAATTATGCACATTTGTCTTAATTTTGTCAAACATTAATACAAGTTATTGGGGATTACAATACTAGTTCATACATTATCCATGAAAAATTGCATTGTTCACATTTTTTATTTCCTTCCATTTATTATTAGAAAAAGGAGCATACAAATTCAAGAGTAAAACACCAAAGGCCGATAAATCAGTGACCTGTGCAACCCCTGCCGAGGTTCAGTTTTTGTTATGGAGCGACTCTTCTACAAATCTTAACCAAGCCAAGAGGCGTATTGACCAGGCTTGTGAATACGAATTCAGGACAATGACAGTGTCATCATCCTACCAAGAAATTATAAAAGGATTGAATAGATACCAGGTTAGTAATGATATATAATGCTGATATGTGTCAGGTTAAGAAAAGGTTAAGAACAGAAACCAAGGTTAGTGTGAATATATGTCAGGTTACGAAAAGGTAAACAACAGAAACCAAGGTTAGTGTAAATATATGTCAGGTTACAAAAAGGTTGACAACATAAACCAAGGTTAGTGTGAATATATGTCAGGTTACGAAAAGGTAAACAACAGAAACCAAGGTTAGTGTAAATATATGTCAGGTTGCAAAAAGGTTAACAACAGAAACCAAGGTTAGTGTAAATATATGTCAGGTTACAAAAAGGTTAACAACAGAAACCAAGGTTAGTGTGAATATATGTCAGGTTACAAAAAGGTTAACAACAGAAACCAAGGTTAGTGTGAATATATGTCAGGTTACAAAAAGGTTAACAATAGAAACCAAGGTTAGTGTGAATATATGTCAGGTTAAGAAAAGGTTAAGAACAGAAACCAAGGTTAGTGTGAATATATGTCAGGTTACGAAAAGGTTAAGAACAGAAACCAAGGTTAGTGTCAGGTTACAAAAAGGTTGAACAGAAACCAAGGTATATGTCAACATAAACCAAGGTTAGTGTGAATATATGTCAGGTTACAAAAAGGTAAACAAAACAGAAATATATGTCCAAGGTTAGTGTAAATATATGTCAGGTTACAAAAAGGTTGACAACATAAACCAAGGTTAGTGTGAATATATGTCAGGTTACGAAAAGGTAAACAACAGAAACCAAGGTTAGTGTAAATATATGTCAGGTTACAAAAAGGTTGACAACATAAACCAAGGTTAGTGTGAATATATGTCAGGTTACAAAAAGGCTGACAACAGAAACCAAGGTTAGTGTGAATATATGTCAGGTTACAAAAAGTTTGACAACAGAAACCAAGGTTAGTGTGAATATATGTCAGGTTGCAAAAAGGTTGACAACAGAAACCAAGGTTAGTGTAAATATATGTCAGGTTACAAAAAGATTAACAACAGAAACCAAGGTTAATAAAAATATATGTCAGGTTACAAAAAGGTTAACAACAGAAACCAAGGTTAATGTAAATATATGTCAGGTTACAAAAAGGTTAACAACAGAAACCAAGGTTAGTGTGAATATATGTCAGGTTACAAAAAGGTTAACAACAGAAACCAAGGTTAGTGTAAATATATGTCAGGTTACAAAAAGGTTAACAACAGAAACCAAGGTTAATGTAAATATATGTCAGGTTACAAAAAGGTTAACAACAGAAACCAAGGTTAGTGTGAACATATGTCAGGTTACAAAAAGGTTAACAATAGAAACCAAGGTTAGTGTGAACATATGTCAGGTTACAAAAAGGTTAACTACAGAAACCAAGGTTAGTGTGAATATATGTCAGGTTACAAAAAGGTTAACAACAGAAACCAAGGTTAGTGTGAATATATGTCAGGTTACAAAAAGGTTAACAACAGAAACCAAGGTTAGTGTAAATATATGTCAGGTTACAAAAAGGTTAAGAACAGAAACCAAGGTTAGTGTGAATATATGTCAGGTTACAAAAAGGTTAAGAGCAGAAACCAAGGTTAGTGTGAATATATGTCAGGTTACAAAAAGGTTAAGAGCAGAAACCAAGGTTAGTGTGAATATATGTCAGGTTACAAAAAGGCTGACAACAGAAACCAGTGTTAGGGAATAAATTCCAGGTTTTGACATTTCATATAAAAAAAAACATGACTATTGAGTTTTCCATAGTCAACTTTTGACATCCTCATAAAAATGACTTTGAAATCAGAAGGACAAGGAGAGGTAGTGTCTTCTTTTGCATTTATGCATTTGTTTTCCATGAATATCAACTCCTGGAGATCAGTTAACTTAATAAGTGAGCAAATTCAAGTTATGTAAAGTTTTATGACTCCAAAGGTCATTGTGATCCTCATTGGAGCTAATAAGGTCCATTAAAGGAAGATATTCACCTTTCTTTGCTCTCAACTTTGTCCCTGAAGTACTAAAACTGATGTAAAGGATGTATTTGTCTGTCTCCCTGAAGTACTAAAACTGATGAAAAGGATGTATTTGTCTGCCTCCCTGAAGTACTAAAACTGATGTAAAGGATGTATTTGTCTGTCTCCCTGAAGTACTAAAACTGATGTAAAGGATGTATTTGTCTGTCTCCCTGAAGTACTAAAACTGATGTAAAGGATGTATTTGTCTGTCTCCCTGAAGTACTAAAACTGATGTAAAGGATGTATTTGTCTGTCTCCCTGAAGTACTAAAACTGATGTAAAGGATGTATTTGTCTGTCTCCCTGAAGTACTAAAACTGATGTAAAGGATGTATTTGTCTGTCTCCCTGAAGTACTAAAACTGATGTAAAGGATGTATTTGTCTGTCTCTCTGAAGTACTAAAACTGATGTAAAGGATGTATTTGTCTGTCTCCCTGAAGTACTAAAACTGATGAAAAGGATGTATTTGTCTGTCTCCCTGAAGTACTAAAACTGATGTAAAGGATGTATTTGTCTGTCTTCCTGAAGTACTAAAACTGATGTAAAGGATGTATTTATTTGTCTTTCTTTGTCACATAGATACACATCGGCTGAATTAGATTGGTACCGATGTACACATCAATGATTTTCCTGTTAACTGGATTTCTCTTGTCCTGTTTTTTACTGATTTTTGTAGCAACATTTTCTACATAGATTTTATAATTTTACTTAATCTGTTGTAGATTGAAAAGTTACATCAGCTTGGATCCCAAGGAAATGTCCACTTAAGAATAAACCAGAGTAGAGGGGAGATAACTCTAGAAGGCAGACATTCACTGACCTCGGCCCTGCTCCCAGAAATACAAAATCTACTCCACAAATTTGAGAAACATAAAGATGATGTTGAAAAAGCAAAGACAGTCGCTGATTATGTGCAGTGGTTGTATGATGAAAATGGGAAATGGCGACGATTCAATGCAGAGATCAACTTGGTTATTGAAAAGGCTTTCAAGGACAAAGAAGTTCAAACCAAAGTCAAGGACAACAAAGGGGTCACATATATAATAGACTTTCAGAAAATGGAAGAATATGAGAAAGATTTACCACATAAGAAATACAAAATAGAAAGACGAGACCTTGGAGCAAAGTCATCAGGTTTGTGTGTTAGAATGTGACTGTTGAATGCATTCATTTCAATCTATATAAACTTAATCTTTAGTTGATTCTGAGTGCTGTATAATATAAAACACTGGTAGGTTTCTTCCTTTGTTACATTAAAGCTCTGAAAAGAATTAATATATAAAGCTTGATTTTCCATCCCTGATGCAAGTTTGTGTGGAGTTATTGAATAAAATGTTGTCAAACCTAAACCTATAAAGTTGTCAAAAAGTTTTGTAATGTACAGTTTAAAATTTGAAGTATTTATAGTATGTCAAAAATCATAAATACTGATCAGAACGGGTATATACGCAATAGATTTATTGGGTATAACATCAGGCTTATTCAAGATATTATTGATTATTCAGAAAAGTTCAACATTGATTCATGTATAATTTTTCTAGATTTTTCAAAGTCTTTCGATACAATTGAGTGGGATTTTATGTTTACTTGTTTAGAAAAATTCGGTTTAGGGAACTCATTTATTAAGTGGGTTAAGACTTTGTGTACGGATATCAAAGGCTGTGTAAAGAACAATAACTGGTTAACCGGAAGCTACAAAATATCACGTGGAATAAGGCAAGGTTGTCCTCTTTCTTGTTTACTATTTGTCATAGCGGCAGAAATTTTGGCATGCAAACTACGTTCTGATACAAATATTAAAGGTGTAAAGTTAAATAATAAATATGTAAAGATATCCCAGTTAGCAGATGATACTACATTGTTCATGAGGTATAGTGAGGTTGAAAGGGCATTGAAATTAGTTGAATTCGGAAAAATGTCAGGATTAAAATTGAATAAGGATAAGACAGAGGGTATTTTTGTTGGATCAAATAAAAATAAAAACAATTGTCATGCAGGTATCAAATGGGTGAAAACGGCAAAAAATCACTGGGTGTTCACTTTGGTATGAACAGTAAAGTATGCTCCAATCTTTGTTGGAAGACAAAATTGTATCTATAGACCAATTAATGAAAAATTGGAAAAAAAGGAAGTTAACCTTGCTTGGAAAATCGATTATAATACAAAGTCTAGTTATTCCAATGATTACTTTTCTCGTTAGTGCAATTGGAATCGATAATGACACGATTAAGGTTTTAGAAAAGATGATTTACACTTTTATTTGGGATGGGAAGCCTGATAGAGTAAAACGAAATACTATGATCTGTGATTTTGATAATGGTGGGCTAAAAATAAGAGACATCCAATGTCACATTAATGTCTTACGTATTTCTTGGATTAAGCGATTACTTAACCACACTGAAGCCAATTGGAAAATTTTGCCACACTATTATTATGATAAATTTGGTACAAATAATTTAATTTTTGAAATGAATACATGTTCAACTATACTCCTGCCAAAATATCAGGAATTACCGAAATTTTATTTTGATTTACTTAGTTCGTGGTTTACACTGCAGGAGGAAAATCGTAATATAAAAAGTTACAGGGAAATAAAACAACAGGTGATATGGGGCAACAAACATATAACATTGGGTGGAAAGGCTCTATGGTTTAAAACATGGATAGATTCTGGTTTGATTTACATAAACGATATTGTGGGAATTTATGGAAAAATAGATGATAATCTTATATCTGATAAACTGCATTGTAAAAGTAACTGGTTAGTTGAAATTTTATCTGTAAAACAAGCAATACCACGATGTTGGATAGAAGAATTACGTAGTGAAAAATCTAAATCGGTCGTTCAGATATTATGGAAGGATGTTTGTGTGTTTAATACAACAACATGCAAAACAAAGTCATTGCAAAATATGTGTAACAAGGAAATGTATGATATTCTAAGGGGTAAAAAATCCCATACTACACATAACTTCCAAGTTTGGAAAGAAAAACTTAATATCAAGGAAAATAGTAGAGGCGTGTTTACCAACTTTTTTGAATTTGTATTTAAGGTTGTAAGGGAGAACGACGAAAAAGTTTTTCGTTGGAAATTATTCAGTAATATTATCCCCAATGGCGTTTTATTAAAAAGATGGAATATTAAGTCACACGAGAATTGCGAAGTATGTAAAGTTAAAGAAGACTATATTCACTATTTTATTGAGTGTATTTGTATAACTCCACTCTGGGATCACGTAAAAATATCTCTTCGTAGAATAGGCTACACCATAAATATAAAATGTTTGAAATATATAGTTATTGGATATAAAATAACCTATTCTGCGTATGACTGGATTAATAGTTTGTTATCACTGGTTGGGTTTGTTATATACAAATGGTATCACCAAAGTGATTCAAGGACAAAGTACGTGGACATAGTAAAACTATTTGAGTATGAATTGAACAGAAAATTATGTTTAAAGTATTACCAAAAGATGACTTACTTGAAATTATGTTTGTAAAAATGATTACAGCAAACGTGACGAATCACTTTGAATAATCGTTTACGTAGTTACAATGCTATTTAAAAAAAAAGAAAAAAAGGAACACACTGTGATGAAAATGAAGCCAAAAGAATTTCAGCAAGCATGGTGACAGCGACATCGTTCTCTACACAAAAACAATAAATTGGTGATTTAAAATATATCTAAAAGTGAACCAAAATAATTCATTTCTTTTTTTATATATTTCTTTTTTATAACATCCATACTATGTTAACAAATGTGTTATCTTTGATCTTCGATTTGTGTAGTTAAGAGAAAGAAACACAGAGAGGGTGATTGAGAGATAGAGAGATAGGGAAAAGGAAAGACAGGGAGGGGAGAGAGAGAGGAGAGAGAAGTGGAGAGAGAGGGAGGGAGAGATAGAGAAGGGGGGGAGATAGAGAGAAGTGAGAGTGAGAGAGGGAGAGTGAACAAGAGAGAGGGGGATGAGAGAAAAGGGATAGAGGAAAGAGAAAGGAGAAAAGACGCGAGACAGGAAAGGAAAGATTAAGAGGGAGTGAGAAAGAAGGAGGGGGAGAGAGGGAAAGACAGAACTAAGAGTGACAGAGAGAGGGAGGGAGAGAGAGAGAGAGAAGGAGAGAGAGGGGAGAGGGAGAGAGAGAGGTGAGAGAGAGATGGGGGAAGCAAGGAGAAGGAAGAAACAATTTTTTAGAAAATATGTACAGCGATATTAACAAAACATGAAAAAGCATAAACTGAGTTGCTATGTAACTATGTGAGACCTGCTGATTTGCTATTTTCTGAGTGGGAAAAAAAAAAAAAAGAAAAAAAAAAAAAAAAGAAGTATTTATACCAAATCTGTTGTATTAATTTTCAATGCTCTATCGACTACAAAAAAGGATGAAAGTTAAAATCAATATTTCATGTTATAATTAAACATACTTAGATTTATGATGAAAATATTTCTTTTTTGATGTTGATATCAATCCTTTATAATGTTATGTAATAAGAAAAAATTTTAATTCATGTATACTAAATTAATATGAAAATCAGTCCCTCAAACAATGAATTGCTATAGTATTCCCTATATATCACCCCACCTCTTTGTTACCTAGTTGTAGTATTCCCTATATATCACCCCACCTCTTTGTTACCTAGTTGTAGTATTCCCTATATCACCCCACCTCTTTGTTACCTAGTTGTAGTATTCCCTATATCACCCCACCTCTTTGTTACCTAGTTGTAGTATTCCCTATATATCACCCCACCTCTTTGTTACCTAGTTGTAGTATTCCCTATATCACCCCACCTCTTTGTTACCTAGTTGTAGTATTCCCTATATCACCCCACCTCTTTGTTACCTAGTTGTAGTATTCCCTATATCACCCCACCTCTTTGTTACCTAGTTGTAGTATTCCCTATATCACCCCACCTCTTTGTTAACTAGTTGTAGTATTCCCTATATCACCCCACTTCTTTGTTACCTAGTTGTAGTATTCCCTATATCACCCCACCTCTTTGTTACCTAGTTGTAGTATTCCCTATATCACCCCACCTCTTTGTTACCTAGTTGTAGTATTCCCTATATCACCCAACCTCATTGTTACCTAGTTGTAGTATTCCCTATATCATCCAACCTCTTTGTTAACTAGTTGTAGTATTCCCTATATCACCCAACCTCTTTGTTACCTAGTTGTAGTATTCCCTATATCACCCCACCTCTTTGTTAACTAGTTGTAGTAGTTCCTATTCACCCCACCTATATCACCCAACCTCTTTGTTACCTAGTTGTAGTATTCCCTATATCACCCCGCCTCTTTGTTTCCTAGTTGTAGTATTCCCTATATCACCCCACCTCTTTGTTACCTAGTTGTAGTATTCCCTATATCACCCCATCTCTTTGTTAACTAGTTGTAGTATTCCCTATATATCACCCCACCTCTTTGTTTCCTAGTTGTAGTATTCCCTATATCACCCCACCTCTTTGTTACCTAGTTGTAGTATTCCCTATATCACCCCATCTCTTTGTTAACTAGTTGTAGTATTCCCTATATATAACCCAACCTCTTTGTTACCTAGTTGTAGTATTCCCTATATATAACCCAACCTCTTTGTTACCTAGTTGTAGTATTCCCAATATCACCCAACCTCTTTGTTACCTAGTTGTAGTATTCCCTATATCACCCCACCTTTTTTTTTCTAGCTGGGATTAGACTGCCAACCTCCTGGTCACCGATGGGTAAAGACAGTTACAAAATGGTTACTCTCTCAACCAACGATAGTGATTACAAAACCACAGAGAAGGCGTTCCTCAGTGCTCAACAGCAGGCACCTATTCAACAGGTAAGAACTGTGTTAGTGGAGTATGATACCATTAAACCGGATGTTTTACTGTTGTAGTGGAGTGTAATACTGTGTAGTGGAGTGTGATACCATTAAACCGGATGTTTTACTGTTGTAGTGGAGTGTAATACCAATAAACAGGATGTAGTGGAGTGTGATACCGATAAACAGGATGTTTTAATGTTGTAGTGGAGTGTGATACCAATAAACAGGATGTTTTACTGTTGTAGTGGAGTGTGATACCGATAAACAGGATGTTTTACTGTTGTAGTGGAGTGTGATACCAATAAACAGGATGTTTTACTGTTGTAGTGGAGTGTGATACCAATAAACAGGATGTTTTACTGTTGTAGTGGAGTGTAATACTGTTGTAGTGGAGTGTAATACCAATAAACAGGATGTTTTACTGTGGTAGTGGAGTGTGATACCAATAAACAGGATGTTTTACTGTTGTAGTGGAGTATGATACCAATAAACAGGATGTTTTACTGTTGTAGTGGAGTGTGATACCAATAAACAGGATGTTTTACTGTTGTAGTGGAGTGTAATACTGTGTAGTGGAGTATGATACCAATAAACAGGATGTTTTACTGTTGTAGTGGAGTGTAATACCAATAAACAGGATGTTTTACTGTTGTAGTGGAGTGTAATACCAATAAACAGGATGTTTTACTGTTGTAGTGGAGTGTGATACCAATAAACAGGATGTTTTACTGTTGTAGTGGAGTGTGATACATCAAACAGGATGTTTTACTGTTGTAGTGGAGTGTAATACCAATAAACAGGATGTAGTGGAGTGTGATACCGATAAACAGGATGTTTTAATGTTGTAGTGGAGTGTGATACCAATAAACAGGATGTTTTACTATTGTAGTGGAGTGTAATACCAATAAACAGGATGTTTTACTGTTGTAGTGGAGTGTGATACCAATAAACAGGATGTTTTACTGTTGTAGTGGAGTGTAATACCAATAAACAGGATGTTTTACTGTTGTAGTGGAGTGTGATACCAATAAACAGGATGTTTTACTATTGGAGTGGAGTGTAATACCAATAGACAGGATGTTTTACTGTTGTAGTGGAGTGTAATACCAATAAACAGGATGTTTTACTGTTGTAGTGGAGTGTGATACCAATAAACAGGATGTTTTACTGTTGTAGTGGAGTGTAATACCAATAGACAGGATGTTTTATGTTGTAGACAGGATGTTTTACTGTTGTAGTGGAGTGTGATACCAATAAACAGGATGTTTTACTGTTGTAGTGGAGTGTAATACCAATAAACAGGATGTTTTACTGTTGTAGTGGAGTGTAATACCAATAAACAGGATGTTTTACTGTTGTAGTGGAGTGTGATACCAATAAACAGGATGTTTTACTGTTGTAGTGGAGTGTAATACCAATAAACAGGATGTTTTACTGTTGTAGTGGAGTGTAATACCAATAAACAGGATGTTTTACTGTTGTAGTGGAGTGTGATACCAATAAACAGGATGTTTTACTGTTGTAGTGGAGTGTAATACCAATAAACAGGATGTTTTACTGTTGTAGTGGAGTGTAATACTGTTGTAGTGGAGTGTGATACATCAAACAGGATGTTTTACTGTTGTAGTGGAGTTTAATACCAATAAACAGGATGTTTTACTGTTGTAGTGGAGTGTAATACCAATAAACAGGATGTTTTACTATTGTAGTGGAGTGTGATACCGATAAACAGGATGTTTTACTGTTGTAGTGGAGTGTGATACCAATAAACAGGATGTTTTACTGTTGTAGTGGAGTGTGATACCAATAAACAGGATGTTTTACTGTTGTAGTGGAGTGTGATACCAATAAACAGGATGTTTTACTGTTGTAGTGGAGTGTAATACTGTGTAGTGGAGTGTGATACCAATAAACAGGATGTTTTACTGTTGTAGTGGAGTGTAATACCAATAAACAGGATGTTTTACTGTTGTAGTGGAGTGTGATACCAATAAACAGGATGTTTTACTGTTGTAGTGGAGTGTGATACCAATAAACAGGATGTTTTACTATTGTAGTGGAGTGTAATACTGTGTAGTGGAGTATGATACCATTAAACAGGATGTTTTACTGTTGTAGTGGAGTGTGATACCAATAAACAGGATGTTTTACTGTTGTAGTGGAGTGTGTGGAGTGTAATACCAATAAACAGGATGTTTTACTGTTGTAGTGGAGTGTAATACCAATAAACAGGATGTTTTACTGTTGTAGTGGAGTGTGATACCAATAAACAGGATGTTTTACTGTTGTAGTGGAGTGTAATACCAATAAACAGGATGTTTTACTGTTGTAGTGGAGTGTAATACCAATAAACAGGATGTTTTACTGTTGTAGTGGAGTGTGATACCAATAAACAGGATGTTTTACTGTTGTAGTGGAGTGTGATACCAATAAACAGGATGTTTTACTGTTGTAGTGGAGTGTGATGTTTTACTGTTGTAGTGGAGTGTGATACCAATAAACAGGATGTTTTACTGTTGTAGTGGAGTGTGATACCAATAAACAGGATGTTTTACTGTTGTAGTGGAGTGTGATACCAATAGACAGGATGTTTTACTGTTGTAGTGGAGTTTAATACCAATAAACAGGATGTTTTACTGTTGTAGTGGAGTGTGATACCGATAAACAGGATGTTTTACTGTTGTAGTGGAGTGTGATACCAATAAACAGGATGTTTTACTGTTGTAGTGGAGTGTGATACCAATAAACAGGATGTTTTACTGTTGTAGTGGAGTGTAATACCAATAAACAGGATGTTTTACTGTTGTAGTGGAGTGTGATACCGATAAACAGGATGTTTTACTGTTGTAGTGGAGTGTGATACCAATAAACAGGATGTTTTACTGTTGTAGTGGAGTGTAATACCAATAAACAGGATGTTTTACTGTTGTAGTGGAGTGTGATACCAATAAACAGGATGTTTTACTGTTGTAGTGGAGTGTAATACCAATAAACAGGATGTTTTACTGTTGTAGTGGAGTGTGATACCAATAAACAGGATGTTTTACTGTTGTAGTGGAGTGTGATACCAATAAACAGGATGTTTTACTGTTGTAGTGGAGTGTGATACCAATAAACAGGATGTTTTACTGTTGTAGTGGAGTGTAATACCAATAAACAGGATGTTTTACTGTTGTAGTGGAGTGTAATACCAATAAACAGGATGTTTTACTGTTGTAGTGGAGTGTGATACCAATAAACAGGATGTTTTACTGTTGTAGTGGAGTGTAATACCAATAAACAGGATGTTTTACTGTTGTAGTGGAGTGTAATACCAATAAACAGGATGTTTTACTGTTGTAGTGGAGTGTGATACCAATAAACAGGATGTTTTACTGTTGTAGTGGAGTGTAATACCAATAAACAGGATGTTTTACTGTTGTAGTGGAGTGTGATACCGATAAACAGGATGTTTTACTGTTGTAGTGGAGTGTGATACCAATAAACAGGATGTTTTACTATTGGAGTGGAGTGTGATACCAATAAACAGGATGTTTTACTGTTGTAGTGGAGTGTTTTACTGTTGTAGTGGAGTGTGATACCAATAAACAGGATGTTTTACTGTTGTAGTGGAGTGTAATACCAATAAACAGGATGTTTTACTATTGTAGTGGAGTGTAATACCAATAAACAGGATGTTTTACTGTTGTAGTGGAGTGTAATACCAATAAACAGGATGTTTTACTGTTGTAGTGGAGTGTAATACCAATAAACAGGATGTTTTACTTTGTAGTGGAGTGTGATACCATGTAAACAGGATGTTATCATAACTTTAGTTCCATAACACATGTGCTTTACAACCTAACAAAGGGAATTAACTCTTACTATAATACGACTACTATAACTATAGGTGGTGATTGTACTAGGCTTTGTTTCATTGGAGGTAAAATGTCCAATATTTGTGTTACAAATAACTGCTTTGATTGCTGAAATGATGAATGCATCAACTTGAAAAGCTATCAAAACACTGAGAGTTTTGATGAAGAGTCAACATACTGGTATCAGGCATCAATTGTTAACATGACTTTCACTCCATTAAAACCCGGAAAAACTGTACATATCATACGTATGTAAATCTATCTAACATTATAATTATGATGATGAGTATCTTGCCAGGATGTTAGAATTGTTTGAGTTCTAAAAGGTATTAAAACAAAAATGCATGTACACTTCTATTGTCTTTTTTTGTGTGTTGATAAAAACAGACTATTATTTTCCTTGTTCTTACACTTGTGTCTTGTATCTTTGTGATCTAGGGTGGGTTTCACCAGTTCCTCATGCAAGGCTTCATGGCTCCCCAGTATGGCAGGCGCCAAATTGTCAAGGTATGACAGCATTAATCAAAGAGTGTAGCAGTACAGTATAGTGATAGAGTGTAGCAGTACGGTATAGTGATAGCAGTACAGTATAGTGATAGAGTGTAGCAGTACAGTGTAGTGATAGAGTGTAGCAGTACAGTATGATGATAGAGTGTAGCAGTACGGTATAGTGATAGCAGTACAGAATGGTGATAGAGTGTAGCAGTACAGTATAGTGATAGAGTACAGTATAGTGATAGCGTGTAGCAGTACAGTAAAGTGATAGAGTGTAGCAGTACAGTATAGTGATAGAGTGTAGCAGTACAGTATAGTGATAGAGTGTAGCAGTACAGTATAGTGATAGAGTGTAGCAGTACAGTATAGTGATAGAGTGTAGCAGTACAGTATAGTGATAGAGTGTAGCGGTACAGTATAGTGATAGAGTGTAGCAGTACAGTATAGTGATAGAGTGTAGCAGTACAGTATAGTGATAGAGTGTAGCAGTACAGTATAGTGATAGATTGTAGCAGTACAGTATAGTGATAGAGTGTAGCAGTACAGTATAGTGATAGAGTGTAGCAGTACAGTATAGTGATAGAGTGTAGCAGTACAGTATAGTGATAGAGTGTAGCAGTACAGTATAGTGATAGAGTGAAGCAGTACAGTATAATGATAGAGTGTAGCAGTACAGTATAGTGATAGAGTGTAGCAGTACAGTATAGTGATAGAGTGTAGCAGTACAGTATAGTGATAGAGTGTAGCAGTACAGTATAGTGATAGAGTGTAGCAGTACAGTATAGTGATAGAGTGTAGCAGTACAGTATAGTGATAGAATGTAGCAGTACAGTATAGTGATAGAGTGTAGCAGTACAGTATAGTGATAGAGTGTAGCAGTACAGTATAGTGATAGAGTGTAGCAGTACAGTATAGTGATAGAGTGTAGCAGTACAGTATAATGATAGAGTGTAGCAGTACAGTAAAGTGATAGAGTGTAGCAGTGATAGCAGTACAGTATTGATAGAGTGTAGCAGTACAGTATAGTGATAGAGTGTAGCAGTACAGTATAGTGATAGAGTGTAGCAGTACAGTATAGTGATAGAGTGTAGCGGTACATATTGATAGAGTGTAGTAGTACAGTATAGTGATAGAGTGTAGCGGTACAGTATAGTGATAGAGTGTAGCAGTACAGTATAGTGATAGAGTGTAGCAGTACAGTATAGTGATAGAGTGTAGCAGTACAGTATAGTGATAGAGTGTAGCAGTACAGTATATAGTGATAGTATAGTGATAGCAGTACAGTATAGTATAGTGATAGAGTGTAGCAGTACAGTATAGTGATAGAGTGTAGCAGTATAGTATAGTGATAGAGTGTAGCAGTACAGTATAGTGATAGAGTGTAGCGGTACAGTATAGTGATAGAGTGTAGCAGTACAGTATAGTGATAGAGTGTAGCAGTACAGTATAGTGATAGAGTGTAGCAGTACAGTATAGTGATAGAGTGTAGCAGTACAGTATAGTGATAGAGTGTAGCAGTACAGTATAGTGATAGATTGTAGCAGTACAGTATAGTGATAGAGTGTAGCAGTACAGTATAGTGATAGAGTGTAGCAGTACAGTATAGTGATAGAGTGTAGCAGTACAGTATAGTGATAGAGTGTAGTAGTACAGTATAGTGATAGAGTGTAGCAGTACAGTATAGTGATAGAGTGTAGCAGTACAGTATAGTGATAGAGTGTAGCAGTACAGTATAGTGATAGAGTGTAGCAGTACAGTATAGTGATAGAGTGTAGCAGTACAGTATAGTGATAGAGTGTAGCAGTACAGTATAGTGATAGATTGTAGCAGTACAGTATAGTGATAGAGTGTAGCAGTACAGTATAGTGATAGAGTGTAGCAGTACAGTATAGTGATAGAGTGTAGCAGTACAGTATAGTGATAGAGTGTAGCAGTACAGTATAGTGATAGAGTGTAGCAGTACAGTATATTGATAGAGTGTAGCAGTACAGTATAGTGATAGAGTGTAGCAGTACAGTATAGTGATAGAGTGTAGCAGTACAGTATAGTGATAGAGTGTAGCAGTACAGTATAGTGATAGAGTGTAGCAGTACAGTATAGTGATAGAGTGTAGCAGTACAGTATAGTGATAGAGTGTAGCAGTACAGTATAGTGATAGAGTGTAGCAGTACAGTATAGTGATAGAGTGTAGCAGTACAGTATAGTGATAGAGTGTAGCAGTACAGTATAGTGATAGAGTGTAGCAGTACAGTATAGTGATAGTGTAGCGGTACAGTATAGTGATAGAGTGTAGCAGTACAGTATTGATAGAGTGTAGCAGTACAGTATAGTGATAGAGTGTAGCAGTACAGTATAGTGATAGAGTGTAGCAGTACAGTATAGTGATAGAGTGTAGCAGTACAGTATAGTGATAGAGTGTAGCAGTACAGTATAGTGATAGAGTGTAGCAGTACAGTATAGTGATAGCGTGTAGCAGTACAGTATAGTGATAGCGTGTAGCAGTACAGTAAAGTGATAGAGTGTAGCAGTACAGTATAGTGATAGAGTGTAGCAGTACAGTATAGTGATAGAGTGTAGCAGTACAGTATAGTGATAGAGTGTAGCAGTACAGTATAGTGATAGAGTGTAGCAGTACGGTATAGTGATAGCAGTACAGTGTAGTGATAGAGTGTAGCAGTACAGTATAGTGATAGAGTGTAGCAGTACAGTATAGTGATAGAGTGTAGCAGTACAGTATAGTGATAGATTGTAGCAGTACAGTATAGTGATAGAGTGTAGCAGTACAGTATAGTGATAGCGTGTAGCAGTACAGTATAGTGATAGAGTGTAGCAGTACAGTATAGTGATAGAGTGTAGCAGTACAGTATAGTGATAGAGTGTAGCAGTACAGTATAGTGATAGAGTGTAGCAGTACAGTATTGATAGAGTGTAGAAGTACAGTATAGTGATAGAGTGTAGCAGTACAGTATAGTGATAGAGTGTAGCAGTACAGTATAGTGATAGAGTGTAGCAGTACAGTATAGTGATAGAGTGTAGCAGTACAGTATAGTGATAGAGTGTAGCAGTACAGTATAGTGATAGAGTGTAGCAGTACAGTATAGTGATAGATTGTAGCAGTACAGTAAAGTGATAGAGTGTAGCAGTACAGTGAGAGATTGTATCAGTATAGTGATAGAGTGTAGCAGTACAGTATAGTGATAGAGTGTAGCAGTACAGTATAGTGATAGAGTGTAGCAGTACAGTATAGTGATAGAGTGTAGCAGTACAGTATAGTGATAGAGTGTAGCGGTACAGTATAGTGATAGAGTGTAGCGGTACAGTGAAGTGATAGTGTGTAGTGGTACAGTATAGTGATAGAGTGTAGCAGTACAGTATAGCGATAGAGTGTAGCAGTACAGTATAGTGATAGAGTGTAGCAGTACAGTGTAGCGATAGTGTGTAGCAGTACAGTCTAGTGATAGAGTGTAGCGGTACAGTATAGTGATAGAGTGTAGCAGTACAGTATAGTGATAATAGTACAGTATAGTGATAGAGTGTAGCAGTACAGTATAGTGATAGAGTGTAGCAGTACAGTATAGTGATAGCAGTACAGTATAGTGATAGAGTGTAGCAGTACAGTATAGTGATAGAGTGTAGCAGTACAGTATAGTGATAGAGTGTAGCAGTACGGTATAGTGATAGCAGTACAGTGTAGTGATAGTGTGTAGCAGTACAGTATAGTGATAGAGTGTAGCAGTACGGTATAGTGATAGCAGTACAGTATAGTGATAGAGTGTAGCAGTACAGTATAGTGATAGAGTGTAGCAGTACAGTATAGTGATAGAGTGTAGCAGTACAGTATAGTGATAGAGTGTAGCGGTACAGTATAGCGATAGAGTGTAGCAGTACAGTATAGGGATAGAGTGTAGCAGTACAGTATAGCGATAGAGTGTAGCAGTACAGTATAGCGATAGAGTGTAGCAGTACAGTGTAGCGATAGAGTGTAGCAGTACAGTGTAGCGATAGTGTGTAGCAGTACAGTATAGTGATAGAGTGTAGCAGTACGGTATAGTGATAGCAGTACAGTGTAGTGATAGAGTGTAGCAGTACAGTATGATGATAGAGTGTAGCAGTACGGTATAGTGATAGCAGTACAGAATGGTGATAGAGTGTAGCAGTACAGTATAGTGATAGAGTGTAGCAGTACAGTATAGTGATAAGAGTGTAGCAGTACAGTATAATGATAGAGTGTAGCAGTACAGTATAGTGATAGCAGTACAGTATAGTGATAGAGTGTAGCAGTACAGTATAGTGATAGAGTGTAGCAGTACAGTATTGATAGAGTGTAGCAGTACAGTATAGTGATAGAGTGTAGCAGTACAGTATAGTGATAGAATGTAGCAGTACAGTATTGATAGAGTGTAACAGTACAGGATAGTGATAGAGTGTAGCAGTACGGTATTTGTCTAGCAGTACAGTATAGTGATAGTGTGTAGCAGTACAGTATAGTGATAGAGTGTGATAGAGTGTAGCAGTACAGTATAGTGATAGAGTGTAGCAGTACAGTATAGTGATAGAGTGTAGCAGTACAGTATAGTGATAGATTGTAGCAGTACAGTGTTGTGTAGCAGTTTAGGATGTAGCAGATTAAGTGCAAGTCACAGTACAGATAGAGGGAGTGATATTGGTCAGATTCAGAGAGCATACAGTATGAATATTTGTACAGAGAGGGAATATAGTGTGAATGGTTGAGACAGAGAGGGGCCATGATAGTCGTGAATGGTTGAGACAGAAGGGGCCATGAGAGTTGTGAATGGTTGAGACAGAGAGGGGCCATGATAGTCGTGAATGGTTGAGACAGGGGCCATGATAGTCGTGAAATGGTTGAGACAGAGAGGGGCCATGATAGTCGTGAATGGTTGAGACAGAGAGGGGCCATGATAGCCGTGAATGGTTGAGACAGAGAGGGGCCATGATAGGCGTGAATGGTTGAGACAGAGAGGGGCCATGATAGTCGTGAATGGTTGAGACAGAGAGGGGCCAAGAAAGTAGTGAATGGTTGAGACAGAGAGG